TACATAAAAATCATAACCCTTGTAGTGCTACCGCCGAACTAGGAAATACACAAAAAGCATTTGAATACAATAGTCTTAAAGACAATGTCGTGCCGAAGTAGTAGCACGATTATAATATTTGGGAATGTAGGCGCTATTGCACACTGGCAAAAAATTGGAGCGTAAAGTGCTTTAATTTCGCTACCTGAAATACATATATTATGTAATATTTATAAAAAATATAATGTAATTTTTTATTTACGTAATATTTAGATTTTTGCATTGCAATGCAAATATGTAGTTTTAATTGTTTTTTTATTTATTTATTCAAAATATCATATACGTGCATTTACATATTTTTTAGGTAAACGTAAGGTGTTTTTTCAATAAAGCTTTGCCTGTCTGTGACATTGTATGTTCTAAATATTTATAATTTTTTGTCAAAATCTATTTAAAATTAAGAAATTTTTGCGATGACGTGAACATGATTTGATCGCAAAAATTTACAAATTTTTGGTGCAGTTTTGAAAAGTATCTATATACCTAAATTAGAGCCTTAAGTAATAAATAATGTATCATGTTTTAAAGTTTTAAATGCGTGTTAAGTAAATATTTAGTATTTATGATATTAACTTATGTATGAACAATATGATTCGTTTTTGAACGCTATTTATTTGGATGTATTGTGTAAGCAGTCTTAGGTTTGTAACATGGTAATTATAAGGATTTAAATATAGTTACAGCGTTTTAGTCAAATGTGACTAGAGATTACCATCTATTTAATCCCATTATGCAGTCAGAATGACTGATAGATATAATCAGAAGAATATCATTGCTGAAGTGACAGTGGATGATCACATAATTTAGAGAAATGACAACTGCTGGGAAAGAAAGTATCTTCGGTGGAAAATTTTCATGTGTTGCAGAAATATGACGGCTGGAGCATCGTTTTGTATTCCAGACTCTAATTTATGAGGGAGACTAATATACAGTAGTAGGGGGAAGGGATTGTTAGTAATGGGAAGGTTGCTATCAATATACTCTATCAGGTCGACCTTCACACGGTTCTCCTTGAAAACTATCGTGACTAATTTATTATTAATTATAATTCGTCACGATGGGCTAATTGACGTGCCTTTTCATCCTCACCTCTTCCTTACCTCTCACTGATATCCCGCCGGTATATACCGATAGCCCAGGCGAGATTACCATGCCATTTTTACCCATTAAAAAAAAATATATATATTCAGCAGTGGACAATAAGTGCTTGAAATTATCATAATATAGAGATTGGATAAAGTTTTATTTTGAAAAAAAAGGACTAAGTTCCTAATTCAATTAATTATTTTTTTGAGTTTATGTCAGATAATATCTTAGGTGATTCATAACAGTTTACACATCACATATTAATTTGAACAACATTGAAGTATTTGTTTGTAAAAAAAAATAGATAAATTTTTTTTAACAAAAAACCCTGTTGGTTTATAGTCTACTTTCCCTATTAATTCACTAGAGCGTTAATAATAAATAAATTACAACGATAACAAGATTGTTTGTAAGAAACAATAGCAATTTTGCGCAACACATTAATAAAATTATTATTTTGAAACCATAGTGTCAAGGTCATTAACGCGGTAACTTCAGCTCGCTCAATGTTTTCACTATGGTTTTATGTAGTTCACGATTATTATGGAATAATTCATAATTTATTTTTCAGTTTCTTTTTATGTCTCAATGATTACAACCGTAAATACTATGAATTAGATATAATTGAACGTTTTTGAGAAACCGTTGGATACTTGTCGTTGCACAACAAACACGGTTCTCCATTTCTTCTGATCCAATTTCATATTCATCTGTCATCATTTAATCATTTCATTTTCCTCCTTTGTTTACTAAATATACGTTACAAAGAATATACCTAAAACAAAGAAATAGTGCAGCGTCGTTCATGCGGTGTGTATTTATTTCTTGTTGCTGTGTCAATTTAGAAACCTACATTTAGGCTTTAATAGGAAAAATACAATTGAATGATTCGATTTATATTTTAATAAAGAATTTTCTTGTGACCAGGACTAATAGGGAAAAAGTAACATGTCTCTATGTTATATATAATGAATATGTACTAATATGTAAAATTGTGTGAAATAAACAACGTTAAAATATTATTCGTTGTAAATATAATGTTTAGTCTAGATTTGTAATGGTGGAAATAATGTTGGTAGGTATTTTAAATAGTTAATGTATCCAGTCATATCCGCGTCACAACATTAGAGACTTGTTTACGGCTGCGTACACACAGTATCCGTTGGTTTAAAAATGAAAGTATTTTTAGGCATTTTTATATTTGTTGTAAATAAATTTATCTTTTTTTACAGAACATGGATTATGATAGTATCTGCGGTTGAAATTCTCTTTCGAATTTCGAATTTCCGAATTTAATAATTTGAATTAATAAAATGATAGGTATAAACTTTAAAAGCTTTATGAATGATACTTGATATTATTCCTGATGTGTAAATAGATATGAAATCCAAGGTTGAAGTTGCAGGTGTTGTATGAGTATTTAATTAATAGATACAATCATCAATCTTTGTGGCACGCGACATGTAGATACCTATTGTTGGCAAATAAGATTGTTGATTGTAAATATATGTTGAAAATAACATAATAATAAATACTTTTTATTGTAAAAAAATATGTGATTTCGAAAGGCAAATAATCTATCGGATGAAATGATGATGATGATGAAAAGACCAACAGGGGTCGCCTATAGACTTGAACCGCAATATGAAGATATAATAAGGCATGTGGGCTTTAGTGGTATTATGGATATCCCTTATCCGCATACCCTGTAATGTCACATATACTAATAACATTACAGTAACACATTTTAATATAGAAATATAGCCATGTAAGCCTAGCTGTTGGGTGGTGGAACAGAAGTATTCACACAGACGTTATATAAAGTCTCCCCCTGGTTTTTTGTTCGCTATTGGCTTGTGGAAGCCAATGTTGGTTTCCATGTCAGCTGTCACGGAAACTGATTAGATGTCTAGCGCTTAATTGAATGTATACACTGAGTTATTTATAAAAGAAGGACTTCAAATTTGATAAGGTTATTTTTTTCGTTTTTTTTTATGGGTGAAAATGGAATGGTAACCCCGCCTGCGCTTACGAGATACGCTAGCGTAGCACCAGTGAAGGGTAATTGATGAGAATGAAAACAGGCCAGTTAGCCCATCATGATGAATTCATCAGGAATTAACCATGATAGTTTCCAGGGGGAACCGCGAGGAGGTCGACCTGGTTGGGTATATTGCTAGCAATAGGATTCTTAGTCTCCATTACTAAGAATCCCTTTCCCCCATTTTTGATAAGGTTTACAAAACAAACCCGAGGACACTTGCTTTGTTGCCGAGTCCTATATAAATATTTTGATCTAGCCTTGAAACGTATCTAATTGTGGATCTAATGTGATTAATATCATAAAGATACGTATTACAGTAGTGTATACGTGGCTTATATTGTTCTTGATTTGATACGTAATGAAACGGAAATGGTTCGTAATAGTTACTTTATATGTAATTAAGTAAGCTCTAATAATACATACAAGTGTAAAGATAGTGATAGCATTGACCGTGACTTATACTTTATTTACTTTTTTTTATACATACTGATATTGAAATATACTTACGAGGAATACAAGGGGGAGACTTTGTACAAAAGTCGTTTTTTTTTTAATGGGTGATAATGGAATGACAACCCCGTCTGCGCTATTGGTATACACTGGCAAGATACCAGGGAGGGATGATAGGTGACGACGAAAGCAGGTCAGTTAGCCCATCGTGATGAATTTCACTAGAACTAACCACGATGGTTTCCAGGGGGAACCGCGTGGAGGTTAACCTGATGGGTGTATTGCTAGCAATGGGTCAGACCCCATCACTAATAATCCCTTTCCTCTCTACAAAAGTCATTTGCTTGGGCACTTCTGTTCCATTCGTATTTTTACCGTGAAGCAGTCGTGTTTGTATGGCTGCGTTCCGGTTTAAAGGGTGGGATATGGTAGTGAATTTATAGGGTACAGAGGAATAACACCTGAGTCCTCAGGAATAGCAACGCATGTATCCAACAAGTGTCTCAGGACCGTTCCATATGGCAGTCTATAGGAGAGGCATATGTCCAGCAGTGAACGGATAACGGCTGAAATGATGATGAATGCATGTACATACGTTCAATTCCTAATTTCGCTACTATTGCATTAAAATAGATTATTATATTTTTATTTTTGTCTAGGTATATACTTAATAATTTATTTACAAAAAGGTAACGATATAAAGCAATATTTTTACATATATTTATCAGAATATCAGTGTTTTGTTCTTTTGAGGACAAAGCAACAAACTGAGTTGTGATCATTTTGTAAAACTTGTGCACAAGCATGAAAGGAAAAATACGTTATTTTCTTTTATGTATTTTTACTTATTTTGTATATGTATTCTTTTATGTCTTTTTATATATTTCGTCTGTTGCTGTTGTGTTGTAAATAATGTAAATAAATTATGTACCTATCGATTACTGTACAGTTATATATATTTGCATAATAAATCGGTAGTTTTTTTTAGTAATAGTATCATTTTAAGTAGGGCTCTCAATCCGGCTTGATTTGTATAAGATTTATATATGATATAAATACTTTCTATCAGGCGAGTAATCACCTCGTTTGCCAATCTAAGATGCTCTGTGACTGTTATAATTTCGCCGATGTTCACCAATTGTGAAAGCATTCTAAGATTCTTTTAATGAAAAGTATTTACTTATTTTATATATATTATGTATATGTAGATATATTATTCTAATTATTTATTTGTTTTAATGTTACTGGTCTTCATGTAGTCCTAAAAGGAAATTTTGTCTCAGTAGAGATATATGGATAAATTATGTCAAAATGATTTTATCTTTAACAATAGAAGATTAGTAAAAGAGCATGTATTTTAAAGTATTTAATTTAAGATTTTTACATGATGAAAAAGATTAAAATTATACACAATGGCAAGAATCCAAATTACAAAATAAACATGTAGGAATCTATAATACGTAATAGTATACTTAAGTTTTTATAATCACAAATAAATAGCACATAATTAATTAAAGTCTATGTAATATTAACACGAGACTGTATAAAATATTTATATTCATGTACTAATATACATTAAATTAATTAGATAATTAGTTAACAAATTGTAACAATGTAAAAACTGTAGAATTGTAGGTAGTATACAATCATAGCCAGAATTTATTAAGCTCAAATTAAAACTATTACTTAATACTAGTTATAATCCGCGGCTTTACTCATAAAAATTGGGTAAGGGCAATACAAGACATGATCTATTTAGGGATGTACCAAGCATTCAAATTCGTTGAGCCGTTTAAGCGTATTTGATTAAAAAAATCAAATACGTCTACACATTTTTTATAATATTGGTACGAACTGCACTAGTAGCATGCTTATATCAAGTAGATTCTATGAATATGAAAGTTATCCTAATATCTACATTTTACTTATTCGGTGGAAAATCGAGTGTGGTGTAAGCGGGGCGAGTCCTCGGTACGGGCGGCCGGCGCGGCCGCGGATGCGTTTTCCCGCCCTCCATGGGCGCACTCAGTGACGCCTCGCCTTCTTCAGGGAGATACGGCGCTCTCGGACTTAACACTAGTGCTTTATATGACGAGTGTGAGTCCGCAATGCTTCTTCCATCACCCTCGTCTCTACGGGACAACTCCGAGAACGGCGAAACCGAAGGCTTCTCTATCCCGCTCGGACCTGGTACTTCATCTTTAGGCTTTAGCTCGTATGCGTTCTCCTCTTTCCTCTTTGGCTCGGTGTCTTTCTTAAATTTAGTCTGTCTCTCGATAATTTCTGCCGTCGTGAGATCTGACCCCTGTACGCCCGTCTCCAGGGGAGGCGCTGACAACCACGGCCGTGAAGAGTTGGTTGGACACCACCTTTCTTCAGTTTCGGTCGTGTCTCCCAGGAGACCCAACTTCTCTAAGTTTTGTAGAAGAAGGTTCTCACTTGAGCTAGCTGCTCTCATTTCTGTCTTCGAGTCTTCTGCTAGAAGTAACTCGGCTAGCGGAGGAGCAAGACCTAAACCGATGTTCCTCTCATGGTATACTTCCGATATCGTCGGAGTGAGCTCCCCGCTCATGTGGCGCACTTGGGCCATCGAATCTCGACTACTTGTGCCCATTTTTGGTCTCTGCACGCGTTTCGATGTTGAGGGCTGGTTTAAAACCTGATCGTTCTTCTCCTCTTCTGTTCTTCTAGTTTGACTCGAGGCAAGATCATAGAATGCATCTAGATACCTCGGGTGGGCATGCTCGGGGCGTCTTCGTAACACGGTATCGTGACCTGAACTCTCCCAATCAGAATCATCAGACGGTGGTCGTCGAGTGTACAATGTTCGTATTTTAGTCTGATGTGCTAATGCTAGAGACACGTCTCTAGGTGGCGCGGTAGCTGGGGGTGGTGCTGCAGGTGGGGAAGGTGTGAAAGCGGCATCACTTTCTCCCCTATATCTGGGAGGTGGTGGTGCGGGAGGGGGAGCGGTTCTGCCGTCTGGTTCACCGCGGCCTACTTCTGCCGTTGTAGATGCTGAGCCTCTGACGTACATCGTAAAGGCACCGCCACATGATCCCAATGGGAGCGGCGGAGGTGGCACCGAAGATACACTGTCTTCTGTATAAAAATAACATATATTTATTAGTTTCTTTTACTAAAAAACAGAACAGAGTGGAACAGTATTGAGGAGAGTACTTACGCCGATGTTGCCTTGGTGGAGGTTCTCCATCAGAATGTGGCTCAAGATCGCCATCATCAAGAGAAGCTAGTGATTCGATACTCGAACTGGATTCTAAGCTGAGGCTACGTGGTGCTTCCTGGGTATCTGTTTGATGTGGACAGAAAGATAAATAAGTATAATATTTTTGACTGTCGTCTATATATACAAATACTCGTGTTATCCAAAAACTTGCAGGAACTATGATTGACATATAAAACGAGAATGATACATTTCTAATAGCTGAAATTATTCCAATTTGTTTATATCTATCTATTCTAATAATTTTATGTATGTAAGAGAAAACAATATTAAATAGTTGTAATTTTCGACGTCATTATAACTGTCCATTAGATGATGTAGGTAGAGGCTAATTGTGTAAAATTATACGTACCAAATAGAGCAAGTAGAGCCTGTAGCACAAACTGTATGTGTCTCCTGTTGGCAGACTTTCCAGTACGTAGCGTCACCTCGTCCTGTCCAACTTCCGCCAGATCGAAGCCCAGTGATGCTAAAAGTTCGTGGCAACCATTCACTCGCCACAACCTAATGTCAACAAGATATATTCATAGTTGTAAGACATATGATGTAGTCATATTTAAACTTCATAATCAAGTAAAACCAGGGGAAAAATAATTTTAAAATTATTGATTTTAGTTAGTTTATAGTAGTATAGTTAGTAGTTTATAGTAGGTGAATATTGTTACAATATCACGTTTGATGTAATTTATTTATTAATACATTATCTTTTTAGAAAAGATTTTTTAGAGAAATAAGTAACAAGATAGTGTTTACAAAAATTTTATTTATGGGAAATTTTAGCTAAGAGTTTTAAATAAAGTGTACATATAATATGTAAGAGTCAGAAAGTTAATGAAATTAGTAGATCAACTAACCTAACGTTAACAGCAACTTCGATGGTGTCGTTTTCAGAGTTCTTGACGGAGAATTGTGAAATGACGGAGCGGATGACGCCGATGATGTCATCGGCCACGTCACCGTTCGAAATCAGTTTTGAAAGTGCTTGTAGCGTTGTTGGTGTCAACCCTGGAAGTAAGTATAAGTATTTACAAATGTGTTGTAAGTCAATTCTATAATGTTCTTCTACAAATGTGTTCGTGATGTTTTTATTACTATTAGATCTTAATTAACAAATTATAATAATTATGGATTCTAGAATACTGTATTGGAATTTTGGGTTGGCATATTTAAAAATGTCAACCCTGTATTTGATATTCTGAAATCCTGTATTTTGTTGATAAACATATTTAAATATCCTTACATCCAGAAAAGTTTGATAAAGTATAAACATTTTTGGAATTCTTTTCTTGTATAAGGAAAGTTTTACATACATAAAATGATTTTACACAATAAAATTCCTAATCACTTCATTCACGCCTACGTAAAATTTTAAGCTTGCATAAGGTTGACTGTAAGAGATCCTTTAGTGGGATAAGTCCGCCATTGTATAATAAATCTTGTAATGTATCCAATAAATTATGTATAATAAAGATTTTACAATATAATACAATATAAAGTTATTTTAACTTACCGAGTAAGGCTTGGAGACTAGCGGAACATTGAGTTAATCTTTCCTCTGGATCACTTTGTGGGAAGAATACGCTTGAAGGAATCCCATTAGCAGCAGGTTCGAATCTGTTGTTATATTTTAGAATTAAATATAGAAATTTGTTTACCTTGGAAAATATCTACACAAAGAATAAATAGAAAGTTGAATTACTCTATTGGAGTAAGAAATATTTTATAGTGAACGTAAATATTGGCCGCGTGGCCCCGGCATAAAATAGGCTAGCCCTTCCTTTCTCGTGGGTGTCGTAAGAGGCGACTAAGAGAACGCAGGCATGGGCAGCAGCGTCCCTCTTAAAACATCTTTAAGGCCTGACTGTAGTTTTTATTTTTTTTTATATTTATAATTCTTTATTTAATAACAATTCACTCCTACTAGCCACCGAACTAGGCTGAGCCTGTATCTCAGTGGTTAGTTAAAAACTTCCTTTGACTTAACATAAGACGGTACAATCTAAAACATAAATACACTCATTTGCAATGTTCAATTTACTTTTGGTGCAACATTGTTAAATGTGGGTAGCATCATATTATTTACTTACAATTATGATTAACAGTTTACCCACCTAATGTGAAATATTATTTGCCGGTCATCTTAGCAACCACATAAAGTATTGACTTACGACAAATATTAATTGCTAATCAGTCTGCCTAGTGTGGCAACAGTTATCTTAATAAAAAATAAATAAAACCCTCAAGGGAGAGGCTTACTTAGCAGTAGAGAGTTTTATATGAGATTGATATGATAATGATATGATGAGTGTAAATATTGTTATATTGAATAACAGTACCTTACTATAGAGTTGGGGGGAAAGGGATGTAATGGAGACTTAGAATTCCATTGTTAGCAATATACCCAACCAGGTCGACCTCCTCGCGGTTCCCCCTGGAGACTATCATGGTTAATTCCTGATGAATTCATCATGATGGGCTAACTGGCCTGTTTTCATTCTCATCAATCACCCTTCACTGGTGCTCCGCTAGCGCTGTATCCCGTTAGCGCAGGCGGGGTTACCATTCTATTTTCACCCATAAAAATAAACTACAGAGTTAGGACAAATTTGATCGGATTAAAGTAAGTACTGCTCTATACTCAGTGTAAATAGAGTATTAATTTGAATAGAGTAACAAATACTCTTTATTAGGATGAGTTTGAACTGAACAGGTAGCATACATTTTAATGTAAGCAGAATAATTTATTTACAATCTGACCTGAATCCAACGCTCATGAGTAGTTCTTTCCAGCCCGTGGCGTTATTTGCTTTGTTCTCTATACTCTTCTGGGTCGTGTACATTGCATTTTTCTGTCCTCTTACGATCCTCTGCAGTGATTTCTCTACTAAATGTAGGCACACGCGTAGAGCGTCACTGCAATTAAATAATAAACAAGTATTCAGTTGGGCGTAATGATGGATGTGTAGTAAAGAAATGGGAGTCATTTTAGTTTATTGAATCAATGATATTCTAGGGTTTTGTCTTGAGGTTCTGGGCTTAGAATGGTCGTTATCTATTCTCACATGAATCCCATTGCTAGCAATATACTCAACCAGGTCGATCTCCTAGTGGTTCCTCCTGGAAACTATCATAGTTAATTCCTGATGAATTCATCATGATGGGCTAACTGGCCTGTTTTCATTCTCGTCGATCACCCTTCACTGGTGCTACGCCAGCGTATTTTGTTCGCGCAGGCGGGGTTACCATTCCATTTTCACCCGTAAAAAAAAACTTTATTGTCGTGTAAAGAGTAATGCGCGATACAGACCGGCACTTGTCGGGCGCGGCGAGCAGCTCGCAGAGCGCCTGCCCCATGAGCGCGACCTTGTTGCTGAGGCGCACGTTGGCGCCCAGCAGCAGCAGCCCCGACCAGTGCGCCGGGTGCGCGAAGTGCTTCGTGTGCCGCACCGTCTGCATCGCGTCGCCCAGCGCCCTGCAATTGGTTTCACAATTTAGTGACTAAATCTTATTAACTGGCGCCTTTAAAGGAGGTGGGGGGCTATTGTCATTTGTACAAAAGTCGATTGCTTGGATACCTTTGTCCCATTTGTGTTTCTACCGTAAAGTAGTTGTGTTTGCATGGCTATGTTTCGGTTTGAAGGGTGGGATATGGCGTGAATTTACAGGGTACAGAGGAATAACAGCTGAGTCCTCAGGAATGGCAACGCATGGGGGTATCATGGCGAAACAGTATACTCTGTTATCTCCATGGTGCTGCTCATGTCTATAGGCGACGCTTACCACTTTCTATCAGGTGGGTCGTCAGCTTGTTTGCCATTCTTAGTTGTATAAAAAAAATTGTCTAGTGTCATTTATAAAATCAAAACATTCAATGTCGGTAGCATCCGGTGCGTAGGAAGCCGACCGCACGAATGAGCTGCGTGGGTACCTATCTCATAGATCTGCGCCGCATAGCCCGCTGCCACGTCCCGTAGCCGGCGGTATCGCAAACAAGGGATTGAAATACAGAACAAAATCCGTAATATCTTTGGAATGGAATGTCCGATTTCATTAATTCAAAGAGTAATCTGTTAAATTTTTAATCTTAATTATTATTATTAAATTAAATGCCACTAACTTGGCAAGCCTGCTGCCCTGTAAGAGTGCAGAGTACAGCGCTCGGTACAGTATCTTGGTGGCTGTGTCTTGAGGGGCGGGCCACAAAGTGAGTAGCACCGCATGAGCGCCCGCTGCCAGCAGCGCGCGGCACAACTGCGACACACCCGCCCCCGCTTCCGCGCCACACACTACACTCGTCTCCTCGTCCTCGCTCGATTGCAACGCACCGCTCGACGGGGCGCAAGATATCACCACCTCGTGGAAACAAACGGGTTTATTTTATATATACATTTTTTATACTAAGTTTATATATTAATGGAAACTATGTAATTACTAAAAATTACGGTCTTTAACCAGTACGTGTTGTCAGTGATGACTTATGGAATCGAAACATGATCCTGCACGATTGCCCATATGCAAAAGCTTCAAATTACTCAACGGGCTATGGAGAGGATATCGGATTTATGATTATAATATCGAAATAACGATATCCGCAAAAGAACCAAAGTAACAGATATAGTCCGAAGGATAAGCAAACTGAAGTGGTAATGGGCTGGTCACATAGCTCGAAGAACCGACAACCAATGGGGAAGAAAGGTTCTTGAGTGGCGACTCCATATGGGAAAACGCAGTGTAGGATGTCCCCGCCACTAGATGAAGTGACGACCTCAAATGCAGTACAGGGAGTCAGCGGATGCGGGTTATTTAGGACCATTCCTTCTGGCAGTCTATAGAGAAGGTTTATATTTAGCAGTGGGCAGATAATGGCTGAAATAATGATGTAATTACTACTTAGTTAAAGCAAACGAGCTTTTACTTTAGTCTTATTCTGGTAGGGCATGTAAGCACTTTAAAATATATGGAAAAAGTGGTTTATGTGTCATAAATAAGAGGGTTTTAAGGATAAAATAATTCGGATACGGACTTAATGGCGGATAGTTAAAACAATTTAAGGTACAATTAATACTTACAAGTCTAGCGGTAAGCTTCAAACTCATGATTTCGGATGCAGTTAGCATGTACTCTGAAGAAGGCGGCAACTCTTCATTACTGGCTGATAATTCTGCGTCTATTGATTAAGAAGACATTAATGAAATGGGTATTTAAATACATATATACTACAATATAAAGAGTATCAAGTATTAAAATACATACTTTCATCCTCATGTTCAATGGATGTGTCAGCGACGCTGTTCCCAACGCTTGTGTTTAAAAGGCGTTTCGCTTGCGAATCAACCTGAGTGGAAAAAGATCACGTAAAATTAAATAATACAAGGCAGAGTTACTTTATGTATCACTAAAGTAACTAAATTATGATCATTGACTATAACACTAGATAACGTAGTTATGAAATTATTGACTATTAATAGAATAGAATAGAATAAATGTTTATTATGAGCTGTAGGTTATAATTTTTTGTAAGATGTTATTAACGTCTTAAAGGAAAACATAGCCTACCCATATATCGGGCATACAATACTATTATTATCATAGAATTGACGTTATAATAAACGTAAGAGTTGAATATATATGAGCAACATTCTGTTAAACTACCTGTATAGTGACACTGGGAGAGTCACTTTGAATTCAGTTGCTGTCTCTCGGACTTGATAATAGGTTTTCTATTATCGGAGAATTTGACAAAAATTTAAACTGTCATACTTTTTTTTTAATTTAGTTTAAAATTTAGTTTAAGACCAAATATAATAGTGCTCTCTACATTAAATCTAAAGTAATAAATTTTATATAGGTATGCGCATACCACTTCACCAGGACTAAGTACGATCGCGGGCGTCTTCCAGCAGATGTGAGTGGCGAAATGTACGCACTCAGCTTGCGGCAACTGAGCGAGGACAGCCTCTTTCGACGCCTAAAAGAAATAAGTAGGTTAGCAAAATACATTTAAAGTGTAAGAGCAATACGTAATTGGGCATTTTAGATACCTTTTGATTAATATACTAAATGTTTACATGGCTGTATTTTGGTTTGAAGAGTGAAATATAGCAGTGACGTCATAGGGTTAAAAATTCTCTGGAATGACGATATGAGGGATTCCATAAGCATCATAGTATAATATAAAGGTACTGTACGTATCTATAGGTGATGGTTATCACCAAATATGACCTTAGCTTATCTGGTGTCCTTGAATAAAGTGTTGAGAGTGCTTCCGATGACAAAAATAGGTCACCTGGTGTGCTAAGTGTTAGTTTATCTTGGGAGAACAGTTCTGCTATTTAGTAAAAGTGTCAATGTCGAATTTGATTAATTGTTTACTGTTGCGTGGCTCCTATGACTCCGCAGCGGCACCCAAGAACATGAAGGTCGAACCTTCATGTTCTTGGGTACCGCTCGTACGTGCTCTCTCCTAAGTCTGATCATTCGTATCTGTTTGTATAGGGTATAATGTGTGGCATGTAGTGTGTGGTGTGTAACACGTGGTGTGTAGTGTGCGGTGTGTAGCTTTTTATTTTCTAACTGTAATTGTTGTTGGCCGCAGATGGCCTTTACAACTTCACCGAACGCGTGTAAGCAGGGGCGAGTGCAGATGGCACTCCAAGCTCGCGAGAGGGGAGCGACAGAGGTGTCAGCTCTTTCTAATGGACTGCGGCGTACGCCCGAGGGCGCCTAAGTGGTTCGAACCTCGGCTCGGGCCGCCACACTTCGGCCCACGTCAAGGGATGGTGGGTCGGTGGATCGAACGGGGGAACAAGGAGACGGCGCACTTTCAAGCGTGTGACGAATGTTCCGCAAACGCGAACCGGGTGAAATACGCGGTGTGTAGCACATAGTCTGTGACATATATACTATGCTGTGGGTGGCGTGTAGTGTGCGGTGTGGTGTTGTGTGTGGCGTGTAGTGTGTAGTGTCTAGTCGTGTACTATCTGATCGCGTGGCGTGTGTCGCATGTGGCGTGTGCGTGCGCACCTGGTAGTCGGTGAGCGGCGTGACGCGCAGCATGTCCGCGACGAGCTCGGCCTCCTTGAGCTGCGCGGCGGCCGGCGGCCAGCGCGCGCCGCCCACGCGCGCCCCGCCCACCACCAGGCACCGCATGCCCGTCTCCGCGCCACCGCTCTCGCCACCCTCACCTGTGAACACCAGATCAGATTTATTTGCATGTGCTTCCCTATGAAAACCATCGTGGTTTCTAGCGAATTTATTATGGTAGGACAACTGGTGTTATCATTTTATGTATTTTACACAAATACATGAAATGATAACACCAGTTGGCCTATTTATTAATTTTTGTTTTTCTGTGGGAGAAAACCAGACGATCGACAACTTTCGATCATGCTGGAATTTTGCACGCAACTTAGGTTCTGAACACTCCCGATATGGATATTAAATGGAAGGATAAGTAAAATAACACAATGCTTTATTTGTTATATTAATGTAAATATTCTTTTATGTCACATACTGAATAAAATCTAAATTATCACCACCAATTTATATAAATAAATCTAAACATTTTTTCAAAGAAACAGGTTGAAAAAATACAATGTTGAATCACCCATACTAACTTGACTGTTAAATCCACAGTACATGAACTAAGTGATCATTATAACATAATTTGTGTATTTTTTTATACAATTTAGAATGGCAAATACGCTAACGGCCCACCTGATGGAAAGTGGTAACCGTCACCTATAGACATGAACAGTGCCATGGACATAACAGAGTATACTGTTTTGACCATGATACCCCCCATGCGTTGCCATTCCTGAGTACACAGGTATTAATCCTCCGTACCCTGTTATCTATTTAGTAGTGTAGTAATATGGGTTGTAGTGCGTCAAAAGTCCAGTAGCACATACCGTGTTCGTGATGCGGGCGCGCGCGCAGATGTCGCTGGTGGCGGTGATGTCGCAGCGCGGGCGCAGCCAGCAGCGCGTACCGCTCGCACAGCGGCTCGTCCGCGCCGCCCGCGCCCCCGCCACCGCCCCCTACCCCGCCGCCGCTAACACCCCGCAGTGCGCCCCACGGACACGCGTACAGCGCGCCCTCTATCACGAGCACTAGCTCGCGCCGACCGCCGCACCCGCGCCGACCGTGTGACGCTGCAAGGACAACGAATTAATTACTTACAGGAGTTATCACATGTACATCATCTTTTCAGCCGTTCATTGTCCACAGTTTCATATAAGCCACAGACTGCCATAAGCAATGGCAATAGTTTGAGTAGTTAGATACTGTGAACGTTAATTAATTGTTTGCAGTATTAAAATAAATAAGTTTTTTCTTACTTACATTTTTTTTGGAGAATGATTATAATATGTATATTTTGTTACAGTTAGTATGTAACAGAAGAAGGGGGGGGGGGATTGTTACAGCGTACAACGTTAGTACAGGTGGGGCTGTAATTCCTTTATTGTACATTAAAAAAATATGCTATAAAATATAATATTTCAATATATTAAACTTATGTCCGTACAATAACCAGATAATAACATTGCAATTTAGTAAAGAATGTTTTTATTACCATGATTGTTGTTGCAAGAAGTTGGTAACAAATCTTCGAAAGGAGCTATCAACATTTGATACAGAGAGGTGAGGCACGGCGGGCCCTGCCATGACGGTTGCTTCTTGCGAGGCCCGTGCACACTGGATCTGGCAATTTTAATTATTTTTTTTTTATTTTGATAAAGAAAAATGGCAAATTAAATAATTACAAAATCAATAACACGGGAGTATTAATAATTATCAAAATCGAAATGATGGAAATAATATAATGTAAGTCTTAATACCTGGTAGAACCTTGGAGGCTGGCGACAGAACCAGCAACAGACCCACCGACGGAGCCTACGCTGAACAATGAACTCAGAGAGTAGTTTGATGAGTTCAGTAGGTGGTTACGAGTCACCTGTTCACACAAAAATTAAATTTCTTTATTGTTATATATTTTTTTATTTTTAGAATGATATACAAACTGACGATCCATCTGATGGAAAGCAGTGACCGTGGCTGCCTATAGATATAAATAGCATCATGGACGTCAAAGAATGCACTGTAATACTTGTACTGCCCTTCGAGTGTTACCGTTTTTTATATATTGGAAATTACAATTAAGGCCACCTGATGCAAAATAGTTACCATCGTCTATAGATATGAACTTGCACTACATAAAATGTACATTATAAAATACAGTAGGGCCCATGGTAACTCGGACATATAATTCCTGAGGAGCAAGGTATTGTATTATAATATAGTGCATATTCATTAATTTTATTGTCATATTCTTTAAGTCACAGTCAGATAATCTTAGTTGCTTAGAAGCAAAAACACGTGTGGGATTGAGGAATTCACGCAGACTTTTGTACAATGTAATGTGACGCTATTATTGATACTACACAATATGTAGCAAATAAAACATTATCTTATAAGAATACTAACCATTCTTGCAAGTCCGGTAGAGGGCCTCTCCTCGGGGTCCCACTGATCGTCTTCACTTCTGCGCTCAGCCGCCGTCTTCAGCCAATTCGACCATTCGCTTATACACCGCTCCAGCTTGCCTAAACCACCTATTTTAAAATTATTGTAAAGTTTTAGATTAAAATAAATCGGCATGCATTTTATATATTAGGTAATAGATGGATTTGATTACTAGAAAAAGATTTGTTTATATTTTCATGAGAATAGCTTGTTAAATTTGTCGCAGTTGTGTGATGAAGCGTTCGTGCGTTCTGAATATGTTTCTTTGAATTCATGAATTAAAAGTAAAAATTTTAAATGCAACTCGAAAAATAATAACTTAGCATTGAATTTTGAAATAAAATTTTACTATAAGTTTTGGGAATCTTACCGTTGTTGGGTTGAAGATCATCAGGACTGATGTCCGGTAAACTGTTATCGCTATCTTCTGCTTCTTCAAATAAGGATACTTGGTGGAATCGGAGTATGCCTGGAAATAAAGATATATATTTTTGAGGGCTTAATGCTACTGACATTCTCTATCAATCAACTTTTGGGAAGTGCAAAGATTTTTGAAGGTGATTAGAAATATTATATCCACTAGGTAGCACAGTGACCGAAAAATAACCCAAATAAATTTACTTATTTGGTTCTCACGAAGATTTTTGTCCTTTTTTGGAATGTATATTGTAGCCTATATTACAATGGCGATAGTGGAGTAATAAAGATTAGATTTATGGCTCAATTCGGTCTATATGTCATTTAGTCCTTGCTTGGTAACGCAAAGCAGTACGTACTATTCACGCAAGTTCTCAACATGAGAGATATATTCACCTTTATGTGGCTGAAGAAGCCAAGCATACAGCCTGCCCGCTGCAAGACTGTAGTACAGTACTGGCGCCTTCTGCCTATTCACCACCTCTAGTACTTGCTCAACCGTAGATGGACTCCATGGTTCGGTGCGTTCTTTGTTCGTTTCTTCTGATGAACTTCTGTTACGAATAAAATGTAACGTTAAGAGCAGAAAAAGTGATCTGAGTGAGAAGAACTGGCATGAGACGAATTGTGGAAGTGGTTGAAAAAAGAACTGTAGTATAAGAATAAATTAAGACATTTTTTATTATAATAGAAATGAATAACAGTTGCGAACGCGCGCTTCTGGATCTTCTTATATTAACTTGCATGCAAAATTCGTTGAATGCCCCTAGTGCAAAATACTTATGGAGTGTAAAACAGGTTCAAAACTTGCTTAGTGAAGAATTTTAAAGTAACTCCACTTTAACTAAACAGTCAAACTAATTAAACGTTATATAGGCGTGTCACCTCTGTGCCGCGTGGAGTTCCAGATAAGCCTGGTTGAGGGCTCCAGAATGTTTTTCGGCGACGGAATCGAAGCCGCGACAGCGACCGCGCTCCGCCACCACTAGCGCCTCGGGGTGACGACCCAGCTCTGTAAGTGTCAATTTCAACAGTCAGATTTTTGATGCATTGTATACACGTATAGGATTATATAATGTGATGGATTTCGACCTTGCTTATGTAATTCACTATGTTTGATAACTCATAAACAATATCATGCAGTTATATTTAAATGCCATATGAGTTCTTTTACGATATCCTTTTACGATATCTGTAGGAAGTTTTTTCGTAGATATTAATTTGTGAGATATGTATAACCTATATTGTGGTAACCGATTACGATTTGAAAAATTGTAATGACAGGTATTCTTAGAAGGTTGTAGTAGTTGTCTCTCCACTTTTTTAGGGGGAAAGTGACGCATACGAGTAGAATACAGATGTAAAGGTTTTAAAGTCCAAAATGGAAGTGTTTATGTGTGTGTACGTATGAATGTTAAATATGTGACCATGTAATATTATGTTTCTTATAAGTTGATATTAAGGTAAGAAATAGTAATTACCAGTATTAAATAATATATAATTAACAGTAAGTAACAGGTTAGTGCATACCAACAAGAACTCGTTGCAACGCGTGCTGCGAGGATGTGTACAGAGCTGCGATTTTCCTGTCTCGGTGTTTCTCAGCACTCGATTCCAGTACCGTGAGAGCTGCTTGTAGCTGTTCCTTGGCCTCCTCGAGTTCGCCTGATGCCCACAGTGCGAAACCAAGTCTATGACGAACTCTCGCCTGTTGTTATCGAAGATTATATTTAAAATTATATAGATATTTATATTTAAATATGTTATATTGTACATATATTTAGAGTTAAGAGGGTTTTAAAATTGCATAATAATCTATGAAAGCTATATAAAAAGTGATATCATTGTTGGTATACATTGCAAGAAAATTTTCTATGTATTTTTCTATTCTTCTGCTATGTATTACCGGTTTTATGGATTTTAGTCAAGAGTCGATCACAAATCAGAGAGACTGTATATTGATCTTCATATTGTGAAAATTCCCGCCAAATTCTTTTGAAAAAAGTATTTTTCAAGCAAAGAATTCTAATGTTTATGAACTTACAATGAATGTTCCATATACAAAGTTTATAGAAAATAAGTAGGTAACCGCTATAATAAGTAGCCAGTATCAAATATTATACATAAATGCTCCTATTTTGCGCTTTTATTTTTTCTTTAATAATTCTAATCCTGCTTTTTTTTATTTTCTTTTGCCTAGACAATGTTTTTTTTACGTTTAGGTTGATATGCTATAACAATAATGCGAACCGACCTCTTCATCGGCATCGGCGAGACCCTCGGTGGCAGCGAGCGCCTGCCGCAAGTAGGAGACGGCGCTGCCGCACGCGCCCATCGCCAGGTGCGCCCGTCCCAAGTCTGCCAGCGCCTGCGCCCGTCCACGGCTATCACCTGACACACGAATACCGCATCCGTTCATAATTTGTTTAGATTAAGGCCTTCGTAGACGTTGAACATTTTGTCCGTTGCTAAAATCGATCCATCATTTGTACAGGTCATTTCCTTAACGGTCCACTATTGGAAATGAGTCTACTAAAGGGCATAGTATTTAAACTACTATATAGTTTATTTTAGGTTTTCCATTATTATTATTATTAGCTATTAATATACAGAGGGTAATTAAAGTTGTTAGCATTTTTGACAGAGCTTTGTAATAGTGAAACTGAACATTTTCCCAAAGAAACGTATGTACAAATATGACAAAAAATTGAATTTTTATTACTACTATAAAAATTAAGGCGTTATTAGTACTTTACTATATATGGAATAATACAGAGAGCGATCGAAATTTAAAGTGGGTGTTAAATTACCTGCAGCGGTAGCGTGTCGCAGCCTGGACTCGTGCCAGCGAGCCGCTTCAGCGTGAGCGCCCATCGACGCGTGAGCTGCACCTAGTCCACCGCTTGCACGCGCCTGTAATCATAGTTCATTTTTTTACAACTTGGATTGGCAAGCAAGCTGACGACTTACCTGATAGAAAGTGATAACCGTTATCGAATATCGAATAACATGTATAGCACCAAGGATACCACATAATAATCTGTGGGGTCCATGTACTTAGAACATTCAAAATCAAAGTATTGTTTATGTACCCAATTATTTCAATGTTATAGCTACATAAATCTAAGATTTGATCATAACTGCACATTAGCTGGTGTTGCACGGTTCGTCATTGAAGTTCAGAATTTCCATATAACGGCAATTTGAAAACGGAATTTCCATATATTGACAATTTGGAGACAGAGAAAATGCTTAATATAATTCTCAAAGTATATCAACTGAACTAGGAATGGGTTGATTTCGAGATAGCTGGAGATAGTTTGATAGGTACTGAAAGCAGAACAATGCTCACGGCGGATGGCATTGGGAGAGGTCTATCTTCATTAGTTTATAAGGTACAAATTGAGATGATAATAAAGTATACAAGTGTGTGTTTAAATGATGATGTATTATTATTACCTGCAAATGTGCGAGACCAAGTCTATGAGCAAGTTCAAGTTCAGCGCGGTGATGTCGGACGGCAGCCGCGTGGTCTCCACGCGCGTGTTGCGCAGCACCAAGAGAGTGGCATGCTTCCGCTTCCATTATCTGGTTGTTCAGCTCCCTGCAGATATAGTAGGTATACATGACGTCTGATATTGAAGCACGAGAAGTTACGGTAATTAAAAAACAACATTTTTAAGGAAGACAGATTCAAAATCTTCTAGATAACTTGGACTTGGACAATATATTTCTCAGTTTTTCTAAATTAAAATTAATGTAGTGTATAACAATTAGCTTAGGAAGTGAAAGAGTAACATTCCCATATCGGGGGAAAAGGGATTGTCAGTAATGAGGTTAAACAGCCATTGTTAGCAATATACTTTATTAGGTTGACCTCCCCACGGTTCCTACTGGAAACCAACGTAGTTAATTCTTGTTGAATTCTTCAGGATGGGTCAACTGATCTGATTTCATCCTCACCTACCATCATTCACTTATCACCCAAAAAAAGACATCGTTCTTTAGTCAGCTCGTAATCATATCTGGTTTTATCTATTCGAAATATCAATCAACAACATCATCAATGAATCATGCAACGACAAAGTCTTAGTTTAATTTCTTACTTGGCAATATTCTTCTGATGTTCGAGACAGGAAACTGCCTGGTCAAGATTGTTGAGCGCGATGTGCAGAGCGCCCAGTTCGCCGTACGCCTGCGCCTTCGCTTCTGGGACTCCGAGCTCGTGGGATACGACTAGTCGCTTCTCCAGACATACTAGCGCTTGCTGAAGGTTACCGATGGACCTTTGTGGAAAGTGAAATAAGGTAAGTGTTATAAAAATGATAGCGTTCTTCTGTAATCAGAGATGTATAAAAAAATATTTGGCGCTTTTAGCACCTTTGAAAATTTAGATCTAGAGGTTTATCTGCATTAGAAAATTATTTGAATAGATATTACATCTATGATTCCAATTATTTCCAATGAGTTAATTGAGAATATAGATTTTTTAATTGTCTTGGTTCTATATTTAGTGCATTTTGACTCTAATCTTATTATTCTAGCTGATTTATAACAATACATTGTATAATATGTTGTTATAACTGAAAATTATTAGAACGAGAATGGAATAATTCTATGTTAAAATGCACATATTTTTATAATAACTTATTAATATACATACATATAATTAATATACATATCCTAAGGTTGCCTAGGGATCGCTTTTGCGATAAGGTCGTCCATTGTTTGTATCTATAATAAGATTACTATTGTAATCTCTTGGAGGAAACAATAAAGAGTAACTATCTATATATTTAGCTATTACTACGAGGTATGGGCATCTTCTAATAAAATAAGCTTATATCTAGTGGTTAAAAAATATACTAACTTGTGACTAAGTCCAAGACCACGGTATGCTCTTTCTTGTTCTCTAGCATTGTCGAGTTTAAGTGCAGCAGCCAGGTGTTGCTCGTGGTACTTGGCTGCTTCCTCAGGGTCGCCGAGTGCATCGTAACAGTCGCCCAGCGAACCGAGCGCTCGAGCTTTTTCTAGTTGACACGTGGGACTATTTACACGTTCCAGTATTGCTAGTTGCTATAAAATAATAATATTAATAATTGTTTAAAAAATTGCCATGAAAATCTATCTGATACTTCGGAGACTTTTTTTCGTGAATACCTATAATAAAGAGTAAGTAGACATATAAGTTGGACTTATATTTTTTCTTTTTACATACAATAACGGCAATTGTCTGGTACTCAAACTATGATATTCCATGTTATGAGGAATAAGGGAACGAATAATGTGGGGGCATAGTGCAGAATACCTAGACCTATATTAAAAAAAAAAAAGTTAGTTTACTAAATTGGTCTGACTAAGAATTGAACCCGGGATCTTATGTATACAAAGCAACGTTCTGTAAAGGAGAGTTCATGTTCAAAAGTGAATAATTAACAGTTGAAATGGTAATTGCTTACCTGTTCTAAGTAACCTATGGCGTCTTCATAATGCCCCATGTTGAGTTTAGCAATACCTAAATTGCCATACGCCTGCGCTTCTAATACGCAGTCTTGTAATTCTTGAGCTCTTTCTAATTGTTCCTGTTGAAAGAGAAATTTTATTTTAAATTTTAGATTAGTATATTTATGAGATTTTATTTATACTGAAAACTAACTACGTAATTTAATCTTATTGAAATTATAGTGGGTCATGTTGAATTAACGGTGTTTACCATAACGTAGTTAACTGTTTAAATGTAAATAATTTAATTTCGTTTCATTACAATTATTTTTATGACAACAATTTTACAATAATTTGTTTGACGAATTTGGTGGTGCATCGATTTAAGACATTTTAATGTTAGTGGTATCGATTTCGACATAATACAAACATTTTTATTCTGGATGTTTACCACGTATAACATATACCTATGTAGTAACAAATAAACTGTCGTAGTAGTACTCATAGTACAAACTCTATTTAGTTTAGGAATAGATGACGTTGAGAATATGTTTTACTTAACTAGTTTTAGATCGGATTTTCCCGTGCAACCCGCTACACCCCCTTAACGTACTTATTAACGAATTAAGTTTTCGTTTGATGGAGGAATATAGTCGAATGTACAAGATGTATTAAGTATGGTAGGATGATATTCATTATCGAATGATAGGAAAAATATAACAGTTACGATAGACAAAAGAAATTCATTTGAAAACGAAAGTTTGATCTTTGAAAAGGTCGATTGAATAATTGATCGCAAACATGCTTCTATCGTATCTAAATACATGAATGAAGCTGATACAAATAATATACATTTAATATTATTTATAATACATACCCTGTAACATCTGGCCGCATGTGAGTAATGCCCTAAGGCCATATGGACAGCGCCGAGGTGAGAGTGTGCTCTCGCCTCACCTGCCGCGTCTCCTGCCTCTTGTCGGAGAGTCAGTTCCTATAAAATATATTTAACATTAATTTTAAAAGGTACCAACATTTTTATAGTCTTCTCATTCAATACACATCGTTGAAGGTATATGATGTAGAATTTCTTATATGTGGAGAGGTGAAATTTATTTAAATTTAAATACTAAATTTTACATTAAAAGACGATTAAGTTTATATGGATCCATATTTTTTTTTAAATTACACGGCAGTATAAAATTCCCAACAATAGAAATAACAAGAAATAAAAAAAAATATTCTAATGCAATGCGGTAAATTTTAGAATTATTATTATTAGTATAAAATAATATAAATTATAGCATGTATGAATAAAACTGACCTGTGTATGATGACCCAAAGCAGCATCAAGTCTTCTTTGGAGTCTCCTAGCTAGACCTAAGGCACCACATGCGGCTGCTTCTAAAGATCTGTCTCGGGCCTATAATATTAATAATATTTTTTTATTTATGTACTAACATAAAAAAAATCCAAAAATACAGATTACAATTGAAACTATTAATTTTATTATTAGCATTCTTTAAAAGGAATATACGACTCACAAAAAATAAAAAAACAAGTTATTTATTATACAAAAATGTACCCACAATAAATTATCTAATACAATAACGCAATTGCCAATATACAAATTTAAAGACATTTGTTTTAACAACATCCTTTTTAGAACGTGACTGGATCCCTAAATGCTAATATTAAATGGTGACATTTTTTTTTATTGTAATCTGTTTTACTAATTTTTAGTGTAAATATTATATAATTTATTAAAAAAAAATTACTTCTCTTTGAAGAGACGATAGTATATTATTTTGTATTATCAATTACTAATACAATATTGGGATAATTAATTTTACTTATAAAATTAATTATCCCAATATTGTAACTTGACATTGTATGGCATTTAATTTTAAAAATTGTAATATAAATATTGAGTTGCTATTTTATAACGAAAATTGTTACTCGTACATTGGATAGTAAAGGAATATGAAATATGTTGTTAGTGAAAGTAATTTTAGAAAAAAACATGGGTTGAAAAATAACAAAAAACACGTGAACCTTCCGTGTTGTTGGTAGATTTTTTGTTGTCTTTCGAGTCATGTTTCTTTACGAAAAACAATTTCACTTGTAACTTCAAAATTAATTAGTATTTTAATCAAAGCAAAACCAAACCTGTCTAGCAAAGCCGAGCTGTCGCTGGTACATTTTGACGGCCTCTTCGACATCTCCCATTTTGATCAGGACGTCACCTATATTCCCTAATGCTCTAAATTTCCCTTGCAAGTGTTGCGTCATATGTGCTATGGCGAGGAAGTACTTTTGGCATTCTAGCGCCGTTTCAAGGTTCCCTAACGCGAGATGTGCAAGTCCAAGGTTACAGTACGCTCTACCCATGTTCATCTTGTCTTGAAGATCTTTGGCCAGAGACAGGTCTTGGTCATAATACCTGTGGAAGATTACATTTTATTATATCCATTGGAGATGTAATTGAGTTATTTTATAAGTACTGAGAATAGTAGGTAAATAAGTCTACTTGATAGAAAGTAGTGGCTTATAAATATAAAGAAGACCATCACCAGACCAGAGGGAGACTTTGTAAAAAAGTCGATTGCTTGAGTACCTCTGTCCCATTCGTGTTTCAACCGTGAAGCAGTTTTGTTTGCGTGGCTGTGTTTCGGTTTGAAGGGTGGGATATGGCGTGAACTTACAGGGTACAGAGGAATAACACCTGAGTCCTCAGGAATGGCAACGCATGGGGGGTATCAAAGGGCGAAACAGTATATTCTGTTATGTCTATGGTACTGTTCATGTTTATAGGCGACGATTACCATTTTACATCAGGTGGCCCGTCAGCTTGTTTGCCATTCATAGTTATATAAAAAAAAAATGTATGTACAATAAAGATTTTACAATACAATACATTGGGAGGAAAGGGATTGTTAGCAATGGAGTTTGACAGCCCCATTGCTAGCAATATGCCTTATTAGGTCGACCTCCACGTGGTTCCTCCTGGAAACCATCGTGAACAATTCTTGTTGAATTCGTCACGATGGGCTAACTGACCTACTTCATCCTCACCTATCATCCTTCACTGGTGCCTCGCCTGTGTATACCGATAGCGCGGGTGGGGTTACCATTACCATTATCATCCATTAAAAAAAATACAATACATTACAGTGCCGTTTATGGAACTTTCCTTATCGTGTTAATCGTAAGAACTAAGGTTAAGTTAAAGACAAATTTAAACATAGTATAAATAATAATGTCCCTACATATAACAAAAAAAAAATTACTGACGTCAAATATTAAGACGGCTCTTTTAATTTATTGGATAGATAGTGTTCTTCCCTATTTATTTATTACAAAATGAAGAAAGTTCAATTATGTAATTGGTATTGAAACTTTGATCTTACCTAACAGCCTCTCTATAATTGCCCAAACAATAATGAGCATATCCTAAGAAATGGCACGCCTTAGCTTCCGCAGTAACATCGCCTAGCTCTTGTGACAACATTAAGTGTTGCTCGTAGTAAGGCACGGCCTGAGCGAACTCCCCGCGTGAAGACAAACAATTTCCGAGGTTCAATAAGGCACAAGCTTCACCTGCTGCGTCTTTTAGTTCTCGGGCAATACCTGCAATATTAGATCCAATTATACATAGCATTATGAAATAAACAATCTGGTCAGGTGCGAGTTAACCTTATACGCTGAGGGTTTCGTACTTAAATATATAAATATGACATAAAATGAATTTTATTGCATTTCTCATCAGAAAAAAATTACGTAGTATAAAAATAAATAAAGATCAGTTTTAATATGTACAAATGAAGCTCTTTCATATTAAACATCGCATGGATTGATAGGTCAATTTTGAAATTTTGAGTACTCATTTCGGGCTCTCAAGCAAAACAATAAAATTTAAAATAAAATTTTTAATTAATTCTATAGCAGTATGTGCATGCCAATGATATGTAAAATAATTCCTAATTTAAAATCGACAATATTAGTAATTGCTGAGATATAACGCTGTCACAGACGGATGGTCGGACAAAGTCGCACCATAGGATTCGTACGTATGTTTTTGGTAGAGAAATCTAAAAAGAACTTTTAAAGAAAAATTAGGTTTATAAAATGTTACACCGACTAGAATTAGACGAGAAAGGAAAATTCGTAATGTTGTAAGGTTGAATGATAGGTGACTATATTAGGGGATATTTATGGGAGAAGTGATTAGAGGTGGGTTAGAAGCGGTAACTTAATGCATGTATGAATATAGAGAAATTTCTAGAAATATATCTGGATAGGAGAAGAAAATGGTATGTTTTGATATTTGTCTACACCAAAAGTTAAAAAGCAAGTGTTTACTAAATTTATTTTAATATAAATAAATAAGGATTTGAACTAACCCAAATGCGCTCTATAATGGAACAACGCCATATCATGAGCTCCCAACGCTTGATAGGCAACAGCCAAATTTCCGTGAGTAGACGCTTCCGAACTTCTGTCATGCACTTCTTTAGATATTGTCAGTTCCTGCTTGTGGTATTTGATTGCTTGCTCGTAAAATCCTGCTGCGGAATATGCGTTCCCAATATTGCCATAAGCGCGACCCATGCCAGCTTTATCCTAGAATAATATGAGCGTATTAAAAATAATATATTTAGATGTATAAAGTTGTAAGAATAGGTTAGAAAATATCGATACGGCACTGGTAAATATAAAAATAGTTCGAATTCATAATTTTTGGAGTGTCATGATAAGTTAAAGAAGTAAACTATTATTTCACAATACCTCTTTATGTATGTACTATTATGTATTATTTAACATAAAAATCTATTAGTTAATACAGTTCACCTTTTTTGTCATCTATAGTTATAAGTAATGTAATTAAAGACAGTTATTCGTGAGTAATGCTTACCTGTAATTGCCTGGCTATAGAAAGATGAGCTTGATGCAACTTAAGTGCAGCATCATGTTCACCAAGTAATTGATACACGATGCCCAGATTTGAACAAGCCCTACCTTCTCCAACCTGAAATATGCAAATTTAAATTATAGTTAGCGAGGTTCCGTTGCCTATATATTAAAAAGATAAATATAGATAATAATATGGCATAATTCAATTAATATATATAACCTTATCTCTCGCCGCCAAAGCGACGTCGAGCTGTCGTTCGTGCCACTTCTTTGCTTGCGCGTAGTCACCGGCGCACCTGTTCGCAGAGATCGCATGTTACTTTGTATGATATGTAGGTATTCTATAATAGTCATTCGTGCAAAGAAATCTCTGATTATTTTATGTTAATAAGTATACAGAGTGAAATAAAAATAATCACAGGCATCTTTTTAAACCTGTCGTCGTAAAATATGAATTTTAGAAATATTTAAAATATCGCAATTATTTCTGTATTGTTCTTTAAGTAAGAAAGCTTACCTGGCTGCGTGTCCTAGTCCAGCGTAAGCTCTAGCTTCGATCGCTCTGTCTCCCAAACTTTGAGCAATCCTCAACACATTCTCATGGTAAGCTATTGCTTGAGAAAAATTTCGTCGATAGTGATATGAGGAACCAAGGTTTGAGTAAGCTCTTGCTTCTTCTACCTATGGACATATACAATTTTTTTATAATAAAAATAAGTGACATACTGTCACACCAACCGCTTGGTCCTCAAGCTAGAAAATCTGTGTTATGAGGAACAGGTAACGAACGCCAGGATCCAGGACCCAGAAAACCCATAATTCGAGTCAATTTAGCAAAGTATGTTTACTAATTCAAATATTATTTTAGACTAGCGACCTGGCCAGGATTCGTACGGGTAGATAAAAATAATATTATGAAATCAGTCATTAACAGTTCACTGCTATCTATGTAGGTCTTCCTTTTAAGGGGGATAATACAGATACATATATAGACTCCATGTAGATAGTATAGGAATTTTTAATATTTTCAAAATAAAATATAGCTCATGTTACTCGATGATAATGAAGACTTTTACAAGTTTTTTTTTCATTTCTGTCAAATATTTGTATGACTTTTACAAGTTATTTTTTTTTAACTTCTGTTAAATATTTGTATTTACCATTACAAATAAAAATAAAAAAATAAAATTTTCCTATTTATAATATTAGCAAATATAATATTTTTAAGATTAGATTTTATAGTTAGAATATTTTCTTATATAATAATAACACAAAAGTAAAAAAAAAAAACAAACATTACCTGATCTCCTAACCTTCTTGCAAGTCTTAAATGTTGTGTGTGACAGTCGACAGCCGAGTCGAATTCTCCCATTGCCAAATACACAGCACCGACGTTCCCTATCTCCCTGGCCTCCTGTAATCTGTCGCCCATCTGTTTGACGAGTTGGACACATTGCTTATGGCTCGCCAATGCGTTAGGATAATCACCTATAGCTGTGTACACGTGCCCTAATGATGTTAATGCCGCCGCTGCCGCTTGTGTGTCCTGTATGGAAAAAATATTATGTCAAGTTAGTACAAGTATATTGTTAAGTTTTGAATTTTTTGTAGACAATTTATATCTATTTTTATTAGTATGTATACTTAAAATTATGTTAGTACTTAATTACTAGTAATAACGTAGTCTTCTGGGCAAGTGTTATTTTAAGCATCAAAATACTATACTAGATAGTCATAAATATACGTCTACATAAATTGTGAATATATAATATCTGCATACCTACTATATATCTACTATACACCTTAAGTAAAGCAAAATTTCTGTATCTCAATTAAATTACCATCAGTAAGTTATATGGGCTTACTTTATAACAAAGCTAGCAATAAAACAATTGAATAAAAACAGCTTAGAATGCATTGTATCCTTTTCACCAAGGAAGTGAAGGAGAGAAGAAAAAATGTTCGAGGACGGACCGCCAATGGGGCTTTGTCTCAACTAAAGGATGTCACACTAATTTATCGATGAAAAATTTAATGTTTCGACTTGATATAAAATTTTAATAATACATACCTTTACAGCTTATACAGTACGTAAATTAGTTGTAATTAAGAATAATTTATAGATGGATTCGACAGTCTATTTTGTTTTTTTCCTTTTCTTTCTAGCTAAACTAATTCCTTTTTACATATATGGCGTATTACTGGCCTTCATATTTTTCTACTTATTTTCAATCACAAAATAAATAAATAAAGTCTTAACATGCTATAATGTAGGTTGCCTTTTGCGCTTTAATAGTAGGGAATTTAGATAAATAAAATGTAGACCAATTTGGGGACGAGCAGTAGCTATAAAAAAATAAAAATACAATATATAAATAAATAAAGATTCTTATATTTACTTTATTCAGGTAAATAAAAAAAATTGTCTATAGAGCATTTTATAAATTAATATGAATGGAAATCTCATATCTTCAAGTTTGACTCTAAAATATCCCTCTATGGGACAAGTCCACCATTGTAAATTAAATATTTTAATGTGTCCAATGTAAATTATGTAGAATAAAGATTTTGCAGTATAATACAATACAAGAAAATCTTTTTACTTAAATATTTACAGGTATATAATCAAGGAAAGACATTTGTAACTATTTTAAAAATTTAGAAAATAATAAAACATAAAATATATTTGGGAAAGTATTGATATCGATAGTTTAATAGTGCGATACTCGAATCATCGAGTAAGGATGGACGCGCTGCGCCAATCTAGCTAATTAAGTATGTGCAACTCGATACGATAACGTAGTGATTTACATACTCACTCGTTCGTTCTCCAATACGTATCGTGCAAAAGCTTAGATATATTTTGTGTACAGAACTTCGTACATGCCACATAGATGCGGTATGTGAATACATATTTTATAAATTGAGATATTTTAACATTTTATCTATTCTTCTCATTTTGTGCTCCAAAATTATATGCGGCTATTATCCATTAGAATGATTTATAAAAAAGGACAACTCGCGATTACGCACGTTCAGAACCCGGTATCTATGAGTACTATTTACTTTATTATTACCATGAATAAAAAAAAAAATTTAGGTCTTAGAGGATATTTGGAAATTTATAAAATCATATGCTTATAAATTGACGGTCGACATCATATAGTGTGGGCATTAAGTTTAATAAGCCATTTGTCAACGAAATGTGGATGTCCATACTTATATAAAGACCTAAGGATGTACTTTTCACTGTATAATATCATGTAGTTACAGTGAAAATTGCTTTAATTGCACAAATACTTATATGTAAATGATACAATTCGAGTAGGACGTAGTTCTGTCATATTGCGAATGTTGAGAATCTCGTACAGTCACAGAGACAGCACCTGCCTAGATGAGCGGACAGTTACTCTAGACATTCGCTAATGAAGCTTGCCTAGGATACCTCACATGTTACTGTCAAATTATTCTCGGCTGAACGCGTATTTGAATCCGCCCGAGCGAAGGCAAGCAAGATCAGCGATTTGCTTTATATTATCTGTAATTTATATTCCCAGTTTATATCGGATTTACAAATGTATGAAATTGTTAGTTATGTAAGTAGAGATTTATAAGATTGTAATAGAATCGTGTAATAACTTTTTATATAATAAGTATTGCATATGTACTAATCGGTTATATTTTTGTATGACATTTATAATTATTTCAACTTGTGAAATAATAATCTGATGAGCATCTTTTTTTCTATTAATAAGACTTTTTTTATAGAAATATATAAGTTAAAAACAATTACAAACAAGTTAGAGATTCTAAAGAAACATAAATTGAAAAGTTTTTTTTCCTTTTCGGGACATTTCTATAGGAAAAATGTTCAGAATGACTGGCACAATACTGCTTTAAAAGAATATCATTGACAATAATTTCACCCTATTATATACAATATCTACATAAAATTTAGCACTGTCTAATAAAATTTTATGGCATTTTTCGATTATTTTAGATGAGGTATTAAGGTAAAGGGCATGACGATAAAATGAATTACACACAATCGTCGTTATGTCTTCGTGCGTATTATTGTGTATCGTGTCGAGTAGGCTTAATTTTTTAGCGAACATTCTCAAAGGGCCCCAGATTACTCGTAAACAAATTCCAACGTTGCGAACATTTCGCGGTTATTTTAAATCAGCGGCTGTTTTTTGTTGGAGGCTGTTCGGCTGGAACGCATAAAGTAAATATTTTTTACGACTATTTGTTACTGGGATTGTTTTGCAGGTCGGTCTCGTGATTACTCGTTTTAAATTACATATAGGTATGTTTCTATAAACATACTGTATATTAGGTAAATGTATATGCATTAATAACACAGATATTATTTAAATAGATGTGACAGCTATATGTAATTTTTGTAAATTTTTGGTCCTAAATATACAGACATAAGAAACCTAGTTTGATTCTGGCTATGAATAGAAAAAATCTAAAAGTCGAAAAAGGAAAGTGAATTGCGTTAAGTCTGCAGTTTTTGTTTGCAGTAAATTAAGGAAAACAGTAGGTTCAATAGTATACGACAAATGATTCGCATGATAGTTGGTGATTTTTCCGTATTACCTAATTATACTTTTATAATCACTACTCAGCTATTTACATTTATAATACGTACGGAAACATCAACTCATTTCATACTTAACCGATATTACATTAATGGAAATAGCTCAGGAAACGACAGAATTTAATTTCATTTTTGCTAATGTAGCAAATTATCATTTAGCTGGTAATTACGATAAAAGTCTACGCAATGTTTATGTATTTACCGCAAATTGTCATTACTAAGTGCGCGGGTGCACCGGCGACGATCAAAGGCCTCTATAAAAAGCGAACTTTATTATTCACAATGTTTCTTTAAACGTAATGCATACCGTACTACGATATCATCGCTTGTTCACAACGCAGCGTCGGTGTAGGTAGGTTATGTTATTTTATTTTCTTATGCATACGTAACATAGTGGAATCTTGTAATTGTCTATGGAAAGAAGTATCATAGATATGGATATCTTAATGTTGAACTTATTTTTGACATATCTACTGTCTTTATGTCCTAGTATTCGACCTGCAACTATCTTTAACACATGATTCAATCTGGTCTTTATGTGAATAAATTTATAAATATAAAATTATTCGATTTATATACCTTAAGAGAGAACAGAGTATAAAGAAATTTATTTTATAATATATATAAGGCACTCATAAGATATAGTTAAAATAATTTAAGACAATTAAAAGTTGTATTACGTAATAAATGATTATTTAGTAACTAAATGCTAAATTAAATACGAGTGGAACTAAGGATAGGCGTGAAGGTATGTATGAGTTTACAGTTAAGGAATATAAATGTTATAAAATCATAAAGTAATTCGAAATTTGTAGAGAGATTTCATAGTAGCGTTGTTCTTCTCATAACACTTAGTAATATAACTTAGTAATATGTTTACGAGTGACTCCCCGTACAAATTTACATCTATGCTAATGAATGTTTCGCTTTTGCATGACCAAGTATGCATATATGCAACAAAACTTGGTGAGCAGTGACTTGAAACGATAACGAACGATTTCAATTAGGATTTGATTGTATACGAAAATAATTTTTGAACAATAAATAATAAATAACAATTGTAATTTGTATACAGCCCGGCTGTTGGAATATCTTCCTCTTTAAAGCTTGAATTGAAATGTATAGGCAGTGCTTTATGTCTAGGTAGCAGTGCTAATTAGTAATACAATATACTTATAATCTATTTATATTTGCCATACTTTCTAATATTATAAATGTGTAAGTGAGTTTATTAGTTTATCACCCATTGGAAACATCAAAGCCATAATTTATTTATTTATTTATTTAAAGGAACACCAACAGCATATTGCATTATAACACATATAACAAACATTAAATACAATTTAATATTAATGCCTATTAAAGGTATTCACATCATAATATCTATGTATGTATTTTAGGTATTATCTATCAAATAGCTAGTACTTTTATTTAGTGTTATGTATTAGTATATAACACATTTACCCAATCCATACCTAATAATAAGGAGATGTAAAATATTTTATTTTTTAATTTGGACCCAATTTCCTTTTTTACGAGATATAGTGAGACACCCTACCCCCTAATGTAAGATTTACATTTGATATATTTTTAAGTATTATTTTATTTGTTTATATCAGCGAAATAATAGGAAAATAAAAAGTTAACATGAAATTTTTATAAACCCTATGGATTTGATTTATTTTTGAATTAGTTAAAAGTTGTGTATTGTTGATTAAATTTTTTAAATAAAAAATGACAATCTCATATGTAAGGACATTGGAACGACAATAATATAATTATGAATATTATTATTATATACAAACGTGTCGATTTGAAACTTTTAAGTCAGCAATAATTACAAACAACAACTACGGGAAACCGTGCAAAATTATTTTTATAGCTACAGTCAAGTGTGAAGCTGCGAACATTGGTTCCATTATTTATAAAAGAAAAAATCAAAAGAGTAAACTCTTTTGATTTTTTCTTTACTACTGCATAATATATAAATATCCATTGTGCCTTTACTCACTATAGCAATGAGTTGCCAACAACTTGTCTTAAATTTTGCATGTGTTTTTGTAGTTGTAAAACATTAATACTAATAAATACATTGTACTTTTTTTAATTTACGTAAATAATTTAAGATTTACTTCAGTCTTGATTAAATTATATAATTTCCTACACAATCCTTTTTGTAACAAACGGAAATTAGATTTTTAAAAAACAATTAATAACAGTTTCAATGATTACACGTGATTAAATATAGAATTCAAAGAAATGCAGATAAATTGAGAACATGTTTTATAGTTTATTTAAGTTTTCAAAAACTTTCCAGTCATAATCCTTTTAAATCGAATAATAGTTCATTTTGATGCGGTTTAATCGAATTGTACAGAAGTATACAAAAATTAATCATGTTCTTGTATTTGCATTTGCAGGGTTGAATTAAAATAAATAACATAGAACTGAAAAACTCATTAAAAATAATCAAACGCGACGGAAATTTCAAAGGATTACTCCAAAATGAATAAACGAAACAAACCAATACCTATAACTTAACTCTATTACATGCGTCAAATAAAGCTTATAATTTTCTAGATGTCTGAAGCTCATTTCTATAATCAGAGTGTCTTAGACTCTTGCCGAGAATAAAATAATAAGGGACTCGCACAGTGATGAGGCAAGATACAAAATCGCTCTTAAACCGCAAGATAAAGTACCCATTAAAAAAACAAAATGGGTTCCGTAGAGAATGAATTATAATAAATAAAAAAATTCAATCCAATGTAATAATTGTTAAAAAAATAAGAACTTTATATGATGTTGAACTTTTTTAATGTTACCTGTCAGCCGTATTAAATCGTAAAAGGTTATTAAAATTATACTAAATTAAATATACTTAATTCGTATTGCTAAATTATTTATAAGGCTTCTGAAATAACGGAAAAAGAGCAAGTTGTAATTAAATATATTGGACACTTATTTGTAACCATAATAAAAGCAAAAAATTTCAAAAGAAAGTCAGATTTAAGTTATAATAGTTATGGTGCTGTGAATTAGAAATATGACTACCAAAGACAATCAGATATTTTGTTATATCTAAGTATATAGCTTAGGAGTTTTAAAAATCTTATTGAGAATTCTGCCTTGTGATCTTTTGTAACCTTTTACAACAATATGTGGGAGTGCAAACAATACGGTAGTTATAAGTACGAGTATGTCTAGGTGACCGACATTTTATGTGACTTAAGTTAAAGGAAACAATACGCAACAAGACCACAAGACACAAGATAACAAGACAAGTAATGTATTATTTCTCAATATTGTAATAATTTTCGTTTTCATCAAATGTTCGTCATTTATAAAGAATATATGTAGAGCATTTATAGCAAGTTTTATACATGATTTGATATTATAAAAAAATATTTTTGCCACGACAATCATTTCCACTATAATGCATATCGCGATACGAAAATGGCGCAATACATGTTTGTGACGTGATTCAAGTGGAAAAAGGGGAGGGATACTTTATTAGGAAAATTGCCAAATTTGAAATACGGAGATCATATTTTAACAATAATTTTTGTAATTAGGGTAAGTATTTCCGTAATCGTCCTGTTAGTTTGTTGCTATATTGCCACGCGATTTGTTTAGTACGAATTCATCTAAATTCTCTTTAATATAGGTTTCGAAAAATATATAATGGGAAATAATGAATTCATCGTGTTTGGCAATTCTAGCAATCTGTTTTTGAGGCATTTTTCTCAGAGATATCTGTTTATAATTAGAAATGCTATTATGTATTATGATTTTTTCAAATCCTATGTCATTATTATGATGTTCTTACCTTGCATTTCATAGCGAGGACAAGTTGATACCGATGTGCCGTGAGGGCGTCTTTATAAGAGCCCTGGCTGAAGTAAGCCGCTCCAAGGTTCCCGTGGGCGCGACATTCTCCAGCCGTGTCGCCTAATGACTTGGCCACTGCTAGGTCTTGTTGCATGTAGTTTATGGCAGCGTCGAGTTGACTCAGCGCCCAGTGAGCTGATGATAATGCGCTGAACACTGACCCCCTACGAAGAGATAGCTGCTTTAGATGTTTACACTTTTAATTATATTCAATATACTTCACTTTTCTATTTTGAAAGTATAAAAATACAAATGTGAAAGTATTGTAAATATTCTGATATTTATATTTATTAAACTATAATTTTGATGTTACAATTAGGCGCTTGGTTTTTTTTTTGTAAATGAAAATAATGAAAGTAATCATAAAATGTGCCAGGAAGTCGAAATATAATTTAGAAGTTAGACACGTGAAAATCTAATAGATTTAGGCTCGTGGTTCAAAACAAAATTATTTATGTTTATAGCCTTTTAGAGACTTTAAAGAGGTGAAATAGGGAGTGAAAGATTGTATGTGGAGTTTTGTTATATTTAAAGCTAGAAGTACGACTTCTTCCTTTCGGAGTTCTGACATTTAAAGATTAGAAATAATTAAAATATTTTTCAGTGTTTTTAGAAATTTCAAATATACAAATACCACACGCGACATGTGTATTTGTAATTTAAATAATAAGTATGATCGTCCATTACTTGTAGACTTTAGTGACGTTTTACGTATACGGAACTGTTACTTTTCTCAGGGGATTTGCAACATTCCCTACTGTGAGAGATGACATTACTCGTCATGTTCTCTAGGCAACATATAATTATAATGCATAAAGAAATTAATCCTGCTAATACTATCCTACTATCATATTAATATTACAAATATAGATAACTTTGTAAAGATGTTTGTAATAAACAAACAGTCTTTCGAATTTGAATAAAATATGGAACGTAAAAATCTAGATAAAAACATAGGCTACTTTTTGTGTTAATTTATTTGGGCACAATCGTTACAATAGTTCTATTTTAATATATTGTAAAATTGGTAAAAACAATGTTCTCTATTGGAGTTGCGTCTGCAAAACAGCAAGTCATTCTTTATTATTTAGATATAGAGCATACAGAATATCTCAGTGTATAATATATATTTAGATATGTAACTTTGAACAGAGGAAAAACATATATTAAAAGGATGTACCATGCTTAAAACTTTGACTTAACATTTCACGCGTAATTAGGTATGTTATAGCGAAACTCATTTGACGACTCCTCTGGAACTTGACAACAAAATGCCTAAATAATTTTTTTTCCACAAGATCTCGCTATCATTTTTATCAAGATAAAAATATCACTAAATTAAAATATACCATAAAAACCAAACATCGCCCTCTTGGCAGTATCCGGTTCTGAACCAGAGTGCAGGTAAATAGTTCGTGTGAAACCGATTAAGGCGAGCCGAGATAAATATTTTAATTTGTGGCAGGCCTAATGAATCACTTTGGCTGATGTCATTTGACATCACACTTCGCACTTTACCCAGTGAATGGTGACGTATTCCGAACACTTACACTGTCGGCGTTCGAGTAACTATACAAATCGACGACAGCTCTTTTATCAGTAAACTTTACTTTTGGATACGACAAGAGTAATAAATTATAATATGGAAGAAAAAGAATGCGTGTAAATGTTGACAAAATTCCTATGTGGTTAATATGGAAAGTATATTTTTATACAGTCGAATTCAGAAGAAGAATTTTGCATTTTGTTTGTATTTATTCATAAAAATTGGAACAGTACTTCGAATATTCTACATGTTTATTATCTATCTACTACAAAAACAAAGTTTCGATGTCAAGAATTTATAAGTAAATATATATAAACTATCCAAGAGATAGTGATAGGATTAATTGCTCGACGAAATACGGATATATTAAATGTCCATATTTTGTTCTGACTACCCCATTTGAGATTATAATGGCGAGCAATATATTTATCGAAGATCCTTAAAATTTACGTATAAGACGAAGCTGAAAAAATAAATAGGTTTCGAACTGGAATCATTAGTCAACGTAATCTAATCTTGATTTTAGAGATATTTTAAGAGGTTCTCAAAGTTCATCTTCTATACATATTCGTATATATATTCGGACTCTCTTTTATTTATTATAATCACTTTGTAATACCTATTATTTTTAGTTTTTATTAAGTTACAATTGTGAAAGTGTTTTTTGTTACCTCTTGACTCATTAACAAATAAATATATACCAACATATTTGGGATGGAAAATGATATTAATATCTTGTTGTTAATAAAGTTAGTTGTTAATTAATATCTTCACCAAGTTGCAGATAATTATATGTATGAAGTAATTTGTGGCTCTGAGTTTTGAAATATTTACATACATTTATTTATTTATTTGAATAACTTTATCGACCAAAAGAAAATATGGTACAAAAGGCGGACTTAACGTTAGTAGCATTCTCTACAAGTCGACTTTTGGGATGAACAGTGAATCATGAATGCGGCACTTCATTATTGGGATAGGTAAAGATAATAATACAGTTAATAATGTATAAGTATACAATAAATAATCTATATAAAAGAATATTATATATACAATTTAATAAGTATATAAAATATAAAAGCATCATCTTTTATTGTTGCTAGCTATTACGGTCGTAATGAGTTCTTAAGGTGAGCATGGACTTTTTTTACATAAATTTTAAGGGTATATTTTTGGAAGCTCTCAGATACCTTCGGGCAACGCATTCCAGAATGGTGAAGCTTGTGGTGGAAATTTTTATGTTTCTTTAATAGAGTTTTAATTTAATTTTAATACGGTTTCAGTATATCTATAACTGTATATTATATAAATCACATAAATGTATATTATATAAATTGTTTTAAATTAATTTTGTTAAGTGACTTAAATAAGAATTTCCTATTCGAATATTTTTGTTTCAACCTATTTTGATAAATTTTTTTGCAGGTTTCAACCATAACGATATTAACAGTCCCATAACACATTTTGTCACGATTGAAGACGTCTTTAGTGGAGCAAAATCTTAAAGTATATTTGCGATAATGTTGACATAATGGGATCTGATTTTTTTTTTGTTTTATTGCTTAAGATTAGGATAAGTGCATGTGGTGTTCGTCTTAATGAGATGCATTTAGGATTATTTGTTAATTTGTGTTAATCTAAATCATATGTAACTTAACAGTGGTGTCCGAACCTTCATCTGTTTGATCGGGAATACACTTTTTTCATGCATAATTGAGACTAAGCGCTAAGACAAACAAACTCATTTTCACATTTTTTAATAGTAAGCAAAATGGGATAAAGACTAAAGAAAAGGAACAACAGAAGTTATTAAGAGCATTTATGTTGAAGTATGTTAACATCTAAATTGTTAAATATGTTATTTTAAAAATATAATTGAACAATTTTAAATGTTTCTGAATGATTATCGTAACTGTGCTCTTATAAGGAATTAAAGCTTTAATCCTGAATTTTTTTTTTATCAAGCTAACACCAATTTTGATAACAAAAATCTGAAAACTTTAAAAGCAAAATATGTAGTAGTTTAAAGAATTTATGTGCAAAATGTTCTATGGGTATCATTTTAGTTCGTTAACAGAGTATTTGTTAAATAAGTTTTTAAAAATAGACCGATTTACACCTCGGTATGAACATTGTTAAGAATCGACTTCTATTTATATCATTAAATTTTATCTGAAGACAGAATAGGACCGTATCGATGTCGATTCAATCCATCAACTTCGAGATAAAATCTCGTCGAGGTGTGGGTTTTACGCCCTGCGTTCGGTTCCTGCTGAGGGCTTGTTGAGTTGACAATTTTGGGATTAATACTCTGTTAATGTTATCGTAATCTACTCTAATGTTGTTTATTCAATCAATGTCTGCTTGACGCATTCAAATTTGAAAACAGTAAATACTATTTTTTAATGTAACTCATTTATAAGTGCTACATTATTTTAGGCCGTTAAAATAATTCCCATTATCTAACTCTCTTTACATTTTAAAATTAATTTTAACCCATAACTTCATTTACCTGACCGAGATATATCGATGGATCGGGATAAAAGTAGCCTATTTCAATACATATACAAAATTTCATAATTGAACCGTTAATGCAAAGGTAACACACGACATTTTAAGAACACTTTCAATGTCACTTATAGGTATCTATTAGAAACGTAATAATTATATATTTCTGTGATAAAGATCATATATTAGCTAATAAATACACGTGCTTGATAGATAGTTAAATGAAACTTCGAATGCGAAAAGTCGTGTTAGTTCCTAGTACTCCTCACGTATCAGGTTGCATAGAAGCGAAGATGCAATTTAATATGATCAGTTAGTTATAAAGTTTAGCAATATACTTTTGTGAATAGTCATAAAAGGGGACAAAGCTAGGGAACATCAGCATAGATAAGATTTCTTTAATTTATAATATCGGAGTCAATTCAAAAGTACCATTTTCTATCTCTGTGTTAAAAATTAAAATTTCAAATTTACATTACAACTAAATATTTATTTTAAGGACCAGTATAAACTTAATTTTTAGTAGAATGGTAATAGAATTGCTTTTTTTAATAGATGATTATGGAATGTTTACCCTGCCTGCGCTATCGGTATACACTGGCAGGGCACTAGTGAGGGATGACTGGTGAGGATGAAAAGGCAGGTCAGTTAGCCCATCGTGATAATTCCACTAGAATTAACCACAATAGTTTCCTGGGGGAACCACGTGGAGGACGACCTGTTAGGGTATATTGCTAGCAATGGGGCAGTTAAAACCGATTGCTAACGATCCCTTTCTCCCTGTTAGAATTGCTTTATAATTCTCCATGTCTCATAATATAATAGCTTTGCTAAATTATCAAATTAAAACTGTAATTTTAGAGATAACTTTAGGGAATAAATCTCACTGTTGCTTTTCGAATATCATTTAGGTATGGTGACAATCCAAGTAAAGTAATCAAGATTTGACGAGAATATATGATATAGAAAGATATATAACAATGTATATTTTAAACATTTATAAACACTTCCTTATATAGATTAGAAAATATTTAAAAAAATTGTTTAATATTGAAATATAGAAATCATAGGTACAAAATGAAAATGTATAAAGAATGGATACTGTATTATTATTTTAGCAACAGTTAAGAACTAAGTTGAGAGTTTGTTTCCCTTTGTGTGTTCTACCGCTTATATAACAGATTGTGTTCTGAGGAATTGTCTGAAATGATACCTACAACCACCTTTTACCATTGCACCGCTAGCCATCGGCAGCGAATTCATCCTCACACGCTTGAGCCTAAATGGTCACGTACAGTGCGGTTTCAGAGAAATTTTCTCTCACAAACGCTCAGGTCGTAGAATAAAACCCCGCTGAGGATTTTCCTGGAGACTACAGTATGGATTTCTTCGAAAACGGTATATTAAGGTTTCTTGAAGGTCGGCAACGCGCACGTGACACCCATATTATTACAGGCGTCCATACGCTACAGTGATCGTTTACCATCAGACGGGCTGTATGCTTGTTTGCCACCTTTGTAGTATGAAAAAAAAACTTAGTATCGGTTGTATCCGACATATGTCATGGTGATATTACAACAATTTGTACAAGGTGACAAATGTATTCACGATAATAACTTTCAAAAATATACACATATATGATATCTATACGTGACAAATCTACCTAAGTTTATAATGAAGCACTTACCTGTAGGTCGATAACTGTCAATTAGAGCCAATATATTAATCGTTGGGTCGAGTAACTATACTGAAATGTTTCTATATTGCGAGAAATTTATGAAGTCTTTATTTCCTCGACAGCCGAACATTATAAATCAAAATGTCGAAATTCCGACAAAGATAACCATTCCCTTTGAGTACAGACTCGAAGAAAATATATTTGGTAAGGGGGTGGAATAGTTATGTATTTAATTTGCGGTAGGTATTATTATTTGATAAACATTATTAATAATTTCAACTTATTAATAGGATTGTTTAATTTAATATGAAGAAACTATTTGAATCGGCTAATACTAAACGCATGTATTCAGTTATATATTTTGTATGTTTTGGATTTACAATTTTTTTTCGTCGATTTTCGACTGTAGACTTATATGTTTAGACGATTAAAAAAATCTGTAAAGTCAAAAAATATTTTTCATGTATTATACAATATAATTCAATTAAATACTGTATAATCGCCATTTAAATACATAGAATAAATTAATTTCACAAATAAAACAGATTGTTAATACGAACAAAAACATAAAGAAACTATTTCATGACTGTAATATACTTTTTTTTTGTTTTTCTTTTGTTTCATCAGTAATGGTGTTTTTTTTTTTGTCTTTTTACAATCCATGCACGTTTATATATGTACAATAAAATTTATTAAAAATATCATGGCATTTTTAATAAATTTTATTCTTCTATATATAAGTCCCTACCAAATTTATCTATAACAAAACCAGCTATCAGTAAGGAGCTGAACAACAAACTTCTTCTTAACAAAATTGGTTTGAGACCAATACGATAAACATAAAAAGAAATTTTTGTAAACCTTTTTGTTTAGAAAAAGGAATTTTTAAACATAAATTTATTATATTTTAAACATAAATATATTTTAAACATAAAAAGAAATTTTTGTAAACCTTTTTGTTTAGAAAAAGGTTAATTGAAATTTTATTATTAATGAAAAGGTTTCTAATTGGCAAATATATCTTATAACTTTAGAAAACTTCTTCCTATTTCTCTTTTTAAAAAGTTTGTAGGTCAGCGAACTTGTATATTAAACTAAACCAATTAATTGGTTGTAAATTAGAATATACATTTGTATAGAATTTGAGTACATTTATGAATGGAAAGAAGGAAAATGAAAGAAATCTGTTATAGGAGCATTCGTCATTCTTTTCTGTTTACTCTAATAGGAGATACGCATGACGTTTGTGTATGATTTTCTTGCCATAATTGAAATTTTTAAATGTTGTGTAGCGCGACTGTACTCTGTATATACGGTCATCATACGAGAAAATTATCCACTGTCAACTGGTTATATACGATTGGCGATTAAAATAATAATGTTACAGCATTAATGAACAAGTATTCGCGGTCATTTGTCTTCTTCCTATTAAGAGATGTTGAGTTCAAGCTATGAAATTATTAATTAGGGACTGTCATTCACGAGTTGACTGCGTATATGTAATTGTAGGTATTTATTGAAGTATTTATTGTTTTGTGATAGTACATATTGTTTTATTACTTAAGTACAATATGTGTGGTTACTAATGTACATGTGTAGGTAAGTCAAATGCAAGTAGAGATTGTCTAATTGCATTTGGATTTAAATAGTTAATAATAAATCTTGCTTAATATTGTTAATGTGAAATTATGTAGAGATGTATGGGTATATTTAGATCATGTCTTAGATAAACACAAGATTTTTTGTCTCTATTTAAGTGGTCTAAACTTCCGGATATATCTCGAACTATATCTTTATGTTTAAAATTCTTATATTGAGTCTATTCATGTAATATTTATACTACTATTACAAAACTGTAATCTGGGTCAGGAAATATGTCAAAAAATGTTTTAGGTTAATCACGCGAACTTTTTTGTATTAACTATCTTTGATGATTTTGACTTTTTCAATTCTAATGATTGAAATCTATCCAGCTGCGTTGGATATGAGAGGATAAAATATTACATCTCTTTACAGTTGAGTAAAAATTATATTTTCGAACACGTCGGATACCGCAATTGAGATGTTTTATGGTTACTCTATATAATTAGGGAGCAAGTAAGTATATCTCACCGTAATTTGAGTGAACAGGATCCGATTCTGAGCGCCGCCTCAAGAACCGTCACCGCTGCCTGGTATTGGCCGGCTGCAAGCAATTCTTGTCCCACTACCTGAAAATAGGTACTTAATCTGAGATCCTTTCTATTGATATTATAATAAATATGTAGCATCAAATAAGTAACAAAATAATAATTATTTTGTATTCTACTGGTGAAACTGAACATACTTTTTCATGACCTGGCTTCGATTTCAAATAATATCAAAATATATAATTATATATATACGTCTTGACATTTTTATTATCTGCGATATTCTTACTCAAAAGATGGCAACAATGTTGAATGATTATAAGGGAATTATAACTGTAAGGAAGAAGATTATGGGTTGTTACTTTGTATATCATGACGTAGAATTAATATTATTCAGTGATAAAAATAGGAAAGAAGTTTACTTTATTACAAAAAAGAAGAGCTAAATATATTTATTGATTTATCTTTTATTGCATTATAATACTCTGTACAAATGGCGAGCTTAATGCCATATGGTATTCTTTACTAGCTAACCATTAGGTAATAACAGAAAGCGTATGAAGGGTAGAGGTTTATTTCTCCACTATATACTTAAATAAACATTGAATAAAAGATCTGTTGTAGAATATCAATTTAGAACTTAGACTCGTCACGTACAGCGTGGTTTTAGTGGAACTTTCTATGTGAACGCTTAAGTTGTGGAAAGTTTCGAGACATTAACTAGAGACTATAGCAAGGGGCTATTCAAAAACAGTCTGAAAAGGTTTCTTTAGGGCTTACAATGCGCACGTATAAACACTTGTGTTGCAGTCTTCCATAGGATATGGTAACAGTTTATTTTCAGACGAGTCTAAAAATGTAGTATATAAGAAGCATCTTTAGTGTTCTTATTTGTTTGGTTCTAGTGCTTGTTATTTTATTACAGCCTAACATAGTAATGCTGTTTAACAACATTGTCTGACTTACGCATGCAAAGTACACAGTGAAAAGCAAATTATAATAATTGGCACTTTGTACCTGCTCAGACAGTTGTAGAAGCACGATAAAGTAAGTACCTACCTACGCTACGAAAATAAATGAGTACACAACCATATATTTAACCACACATTAGCACACTGTAGCATGCAACGAAGTTCATCTACATCATTTAATATGGTCTTTGACATTAAGGATTCACATTTGATGTCATTTGACCTCAAAATAATGTTAAGCTAATGCATAAAAATGCAATTTTGAGTATCATCCGCCAATGCAAAAAGCGGTTCGAATTTATAAGAACCCATTACTTTTGTCATAATGACCGTTGCAGTAAACCGCCGACCAAACGATTTGAACTTATCTCCGTATGAAGCAATAACATTTTAGATGTCTGTGGAACACCCACATTGCATTTGTTTTTTTTTTAAATTGTTTTAAGTATGTTTTTACAGGTTTACGCAAGTTATTTTGTGGCCAATACTCATATGTTAAGATAGTAATCTTTAAACAAATGTTTCGGACCCAACAACAAAAGTAATACACATATTTGATGTTTTTGTTGTAAAATATATACTATAAAAAATATCAATCATGTAAACAAATTGCAAACTGGAGTTTGCGGTAAACTACGACGCCATTTCGACCATTCATGTTCCCTCTGCCGATCAACTGTCGCACAGATTGTATGTAAATTCAAGGAGACCGTATTTATGGCTCTCTGATCACTCCACCCCATTGTCCGCTCGGTTAAATGCGCCGAAAAATGTTCAGATGTCTCCAGACTGCCCAGGAATGTATGCAAATCCGCTCCCAGTGTATGGGGTGCTTAATGTCGCCAGCTTGCACCGGGCGCTTGTTCTTTTTGTCCTTCGACAATTTTACATAATGCTCTCCCGTCTATTCGTTGGATAGCTCTTACAAACTGACAGGATGAAGGGCGGCGGTCTTAGACAGTGCTACGACTATATAAAACGAAGCTATTGACGGAATGTCTAAATAGCAGTAGTTAAATCTAGTATATGTCATTCAAGTTATCATAAGAGCTTTATTGAAAACTAGCTATACGCCCTGGCTTTTACTGGTATGCTAATGAAGAAGAAATGGGACCAAACTTTTTTAACGCAAGTTTTTCTTTTACCGTACGATTTTTCAAACATTTTCTTTTATACAAATCTTATTGTGACAATTATAAACATAATAAAAAATGAAATAGCCAAACAGATGTAGCCGTTATAAAATAAACTGATGCGATTAAATATATTCGGTAATTGATTTTTATTTATATAGATTAACATATAATACTTACTCGTACACAGAAAAAGAAAGAAAATTGGTAAACGCTCAGGTCCCCTTTGTTTGGTATTATATTAGCAAATTCATATTTATTGAATAACTAAATGCTGTATTGTATTGTATATACATATTGCGGGTTTTAAGATAATCATATTCGGCGGGAACACAGTTTTTTCTTTCTTGTCACGGTATATTTAAAAGAGCAATGTGAGTGACAATCGACAACAGCGAGCCAAGTTTCCGGAGATACGTTAATGGCTGGTATTATTTTCGGTCGGTACATCGTCTGGGTATCAGATGCCGTTTCAACGGGATGCCCGGTGTTGTGTCGACAGTATAAATAAGTTTGAATTCGATGCATCGACAGTCGCGCGATTCACATAATATTTTATTCGAATTTAGTGCCTATTTATACTGCCCTTTTGGTAAAATAACTACGGACTGCTTGAAATATTCGACGATTGTATAAAACTACTCGCTTGAGTACCCTGCTCAAGTTATTGGTAGGTAACTGTACATAGGTTTGTATACTATTAACTATTATATATTTTTATTGCTTTTTTATGTCATACATATATATTAGAGAATGTAGATAATTTAGATTCTGTTCTCACTGTGAACAGATTTGGTAATATATAGAGGGACTTCTTACGCGAGATTTTAAATAGTTAAATTTATTTGATATATGTATTAATGCACAAAATATTTTATTTGTTTATTTATTTAAAGGAAATAAACTATAAATAGACTACCAGTTACTACTTTCTATCAGGTGGGCCGTCAGCTTGTTTGCCATTCTAAGTTACATAAAAAAATTAAAGGAATATTGATAAGAATATAAGTCGAATTAACATTTTTATTGACCCTTTCCTCCCTATAAATAAGATTTGCCAGACATCTATTTTATAGTCACTTAATTCATAAATGATACCTTAAATACTGTGTACGTTTATATAAGGTTTACTTACCGATATAAGTACAAAAGGCGACTGATCTAATTTCATAGCTTCAAGTTGTCTGAAGGTAGGTTCAAGGGTTGTCCGTAGAGGTGATTTCAGTGAAGCCTCAACGAGCGCAGCCAGCAGCTGCCTCGAAGACGGCTCCACTCCCAGTCCTGAGCTGAAAGCCGCCAATGCTTCTCCGTGCCGTCCCAGACATTGAAGAGCTACGCCTATATCAAAAATAGAAGTATATTAATACTATATTTTTCTATCTACACGACAATTGCTTTACAGAGTTTACCCGCTGCTAATGTAGTTTTCTATACGTGAAAGAATTTTTAAAATCGATTGAGTAGTTTTTTAATTCATCCATTACAAACAAACAAACAATTAGCAGGTCTACTCTTCAATGTAATATCAATATCAATCCAATATAATACCAATGACAATTTGGTACTACACTCATGAACTACTGTTAGGAATTAAGTTATAATTGGGATTGTTTTACAATAGTTTGCATTTGTTTGCAAGTTACCCTAATATGCATCTATCAGAACATTATGGAATCATTATATCGCTGGTGTTGCAATTTGAGAGTGCGAAACGTCTCAATTCCAATATAAATGTATTGGAAATTATTTCAAGAGTAACTCCAGAGATCTTTCCTTTTTATAATATTAGGTATTAGTATAGATAGTTAATATATATTACATTCGGTAAGATAAAAGGTAATGATGCAATAAAAAAGAATCTTCTGTCATTCCCTAATATATCTAGAGTAGTAGCTATTATATATAATTTCAGAATGTAGTGACCTTGAAATGGGGACAATAGTTAATGATTATATTATTAAAACATAATACTTTAAAGCAAGAACACAACTTGCACATTGGTTTATAATGCAATCATTACACGAATAGCCTATAATAATAAGGCTGGGTGCAGTGAAAGTGAAGTAGGTATGTAATAAACATAACAAAACCATTAGATTAAATGAAGATTTTTTTGAACTATAATATATTCTAGACGATATTGATCACATGACTTTACGCGTATAATACCTACGTATTTTTCGTATAACCTGCCAATGAAACGGTACTAGTCTATTAATATTACGACTTTAGTACAAGATGTCAATACAACTCGGCGGGTTATACGAAATTATTCTTAACGTTTTTGAATCAAATTAAGACCTTGTACGGTGAAACACCAGACTACGAATATCTGAGTTCAAAGTTTAGAAATAAGTATAACCTTATATAGATTAATGATCAACATTACTGAACGTACATGGATAATAATATAATAAAAAATGTATAATGCTGTAATTACTTATGAGGTAGTCAAATGTATTTGTCGAAACATATCACATAGTAGTTACGTCGCACGATATAGAGATTTTTACAAATATGCGGTTTTAAAAATGGTCGATAAAATTATATTTAGTACCAATAAGCGTGTTACCTTGTCGATAATAAGCTTTTGGCCAATTGGGACAGAGTTCCTTCGCACGTGTCGCATCCTGTAACGCGGCTGCGAACTGACCCTGCTTCAATCTTGCTGCGGATCTGACGTGATGATTCAGGACATATAAAATAACATTGCAGAAACAAAAACATATAAAATATTTTACAAGAATTAATCATGTTTGTCATCCTTCATCATATCAGCCTTTGACTGTCCACTGCTGAACATAAGCCTCCTCCTTTAGTGGTTTTGTCAGTAGATGCCAGATTTGGCAGGCGGATTGGCAACCGCAGTAAAGCTTTGGAGATGTTTTGAGAGGAACGTTGCTGCTCATCCCTCGCTCTCTCTTAGTCGCCTCTTATGACACCCACAGGAAATAAAGCGGTGGCCTATTCTATGCTGGGACCACATGGCAACTATCATCCTTACTGTCATCTTTACTAATTATAAATGTGAATGCGAGTTTGTTTGTTACCTCTTAAATAATCGTCATGATACATGTGTATTTGAAATGGAGCTTTATTCTTATATTCTTCGTTAGCATCATTATTCCAGACAATCAACATATTACGATTACGCGAACGAAGTCGCGGATAAAAGCTTGTAAATAATTGTATCGAGTATTCGTTTCTATCTGCGCTGTAGAGGATCGTAGTGATTTCTAAAGCTTTGTGTTTGTTTGTTTAAAAGTTTTATTGTACACGGAAATAAAATTTGAAAAAAGAACAAAAATAGAAAATTAAACAAGATATTGAATGTGTGTTAGATAAAAAATATTTAGATAACATTCAACATTATTCAAATATTTTGTGTATTATTATTGGCATCTTAAATATGAAGGTTTATAAAGATAATTAATTTGGATGCTCACATGGATGGATGTTTGTTATTCATACTTGACTATGTTTTAAAAAGTACTAACAGGTGTAGATATAAATGGCCTGGTATTCGAACTAGGATATCTTGTGTTATGAAAAACCAGGAAATGAATATTCGAGGGTACAACTCAGAACATCCAGATCTGAGCCAATTCAGAAAAGTCCGTTTCCTAAATTACTCTGATCGGGAATCGAACCCGAGATATTATTAACGCAAAACAACGCCCATCATTGCGCTACGGAGGTCGTCAACTTTTTATGTTTTAGATTTTACGAATAAAATAAGTAGGTACCTAGATGTATTAGTCATATTATGATATTCTGAATTAGTTGTGTAAAATAACTTGATTTACACTATGTAAGTATTAGGCATGGATAATTTGGATGCTGGTCGGATATGTATATACTGGGTTTCTCTGGACATTGGTGGCGGAAAGAAGGTCACCCGTTTCAATATCGTCCATATTGGTTGGATATCTATTTTCGAATATGTTAAAAGTCTGTTATCCAATATTATTTTAAGGATAACAGACTTTTAACATATTCGTTATTGGGCCAATATTGCAATATAGTACCCACCCCTAGTAAGTATATGTATAAGTATGTATCCAACTGGTATACGTACCTATTGCTGTACAGTATGTGGTTAGCGGGATCTAAAGTCAAAGCATCAGTGTAGAGCGCGACAGCCGTGGCGAAGTCCCCGGCTTGACAGGCAGCGTTGGATGCTCTCACTTTTTCCACGAACAGTGCTCGGGATGCCGCTCCCAAGGACGCTGAGCCAGTGGGCTCAACCTGTTAACAAATATTAATTATTATTTCATTAATTAATGTTTTCTTTTCGTACTTAGATCAGTAATATTCAGAAAAAGCATGTCTTTATAAATACTATGCCAAATATACGTTTACAAACACACAAACAAACAGCATAACTTTTACTAGCTTTTTTATTTTAAGTGAATTTCTATTATACATTGTGTTCAATACATATTACAATTTAAGTATATTACATATTGCAAATATTTCCCGATTCATTACATGAATATGACAATGTCGAAAAATGGCGCGCTTTTTGCTAAAAAATATTTGCTTTTTTAAAAAAAGGTAGCTAATTGTTTTTGGTGCGTCTTTTTTAACACTCGATGCTCTATTTTATAGGTATCTTATTATAAAGAAGCTTGTCTAGAAATATGATCTTAAGCTAAACATTTTACGAATCCGAATTGAGTATAAGTAGGTACTCAGTATCAGTAATGCGTTCATTGGAATGTGGAACAATATTTAAAAGTCTCATAAGCTAAGTGCATCGATGTGGTAAACTTTCCATTGAAACAAACTTTCTAATAGGTAAGTACTATAAATAGTATATTTTATATATACAGGTAATTAAGTACGATAAATACCCGTTTAGTATTTAAGTTCACATTAAAGTTGGTTTTTGTTCTAGTTATTGTAAATCTTTCTGATAATATAGAAAGATACTAAAACTTTGAGTGATATGGATAGAAAGAGATAAAAAAATATTACACCGACCCCAAAATTTATATAATTGAAATAAGGATATGAATATGATGATGATGAATATGGAAAGATACGAATAAGAATTTTTTTTTTTTGGTTTAGGAATAGTTAATTAGCGCGACGATTAAGTTTTTATTTGTATTATGACGCTATATTGACTGTATATTTATGATAATACATACATTTATTATTATTTTCAGAATTTTTTTTATTTTACCTTACTAATATTATATGTGGAAGTGATTTTATTTGTTTACGGCTCAATTGTCATAAGAACAGGCATATTTTATGACATAAGATGAATAAGGATATTGGTTACTATTTATGCCGATCAATTGGTATGTCCCGGACACTTGGACGAAGTCGCGGGTATATGTGAGTAAATAATTACTATATATGAAGTTTAAGTAGGTTCAGTAAGTATCAAATTTACATATAGTAACTATAAAATTCAACGTGACATACATATTTAATTAGATATATAACTAAAACGCGTCAGTATAACGACTTAATATGGTGTTTATAAGTTGAAATATTAACAAAAAAGCTAACAAAGAATGTCCCATGTTCCAACAATTAAATATTTCTATGAAATTCCTTAACTACCCCATTAGCATACATGGCACGCATATTTACGAATTAAAATGTTTGTTTCCTTTACAACTGCGTTGAGGAATCGTCGATAATAAAAAAAAGACAAATGACAACCAGCTACTGACTGTGAATTCCAAATCTCTTTTCTTAAAATAGTAAAGCGCACGTTATTCGTAAACAGCTGTGGTTCCTATTTTGATTTTGATAATCATTGATAATGCGGTTTGATGATTTTGAAGTTTTTCTCTACCTAACACACACACATGATTTCCATATGTGACAAATATAATGTTAATATGTGACTATATAAATTCATTGAACGTTAAAGCAGTATTCAGAATTTGAATTCACACACATGAGTATAAATTTACATACTGTAATCAAGTACCGTGCTTTATTAATGAATGAAGAAGAATCAATAATATTTGAAATGATTACTAATAACCGGGGTAATACCAGAATAATTCGGTGGAACGATTATTCTTTATCTATATCTAAATTATGGACTTTTTTTTTATTTAGTATTTTCCATTCTTTTCTTAACAAAGAAAAAGTTAAAACTTAGTCCATCATACCAATTGCTGGACCTAGTATAAAAGTTAGAATAAAACACAGCGACATCGAATGTCGTGAATTAAATGTCAATTCTTTTGATAAAAAAAAAAAAACAGGAAGAGACAGTTTTTTTATTGTTAGGAAGGCAATTGGATAGTTGGTCCGCTTGATGGGAAGTAGCTACCGTTGTCCAAAAACACCTCAAACACGAGAAGAGTTGCTTGCGTTTTGCCGCCCTTTTACATTAAGTTCTTGCTAAGAATCGCAATCAGGTACTTGACATAATTTAAAAAAATATTCGTTGCAGTGAATAATCGCCTTAAGACCACCACCACTACCATAAAATTTGACGCGAGATCAAACATTGCGATTAGTGTGGAGGTCCTTTTAAATCTTTTTTAATTAATAATTTATTTGTTATTCAAAAACTTATTTTGGATTTCGGTTACGGCATGAGTCAGCTATTAAAGAGTTACGGACCCCTAAAAGTAATGCATTCTAAATTTGAAACGAACGGCTCGGCGTGAGTCTCGTCCACAACGCCACCACCTGCGTTTATCTAGCCGAGCGCATCGGAAGCGAGAGTATTTTTTTTCTCACGGACCGCATTCTCTGACTTAACCATGAAACAATCAGCCATACAATTCTCCATCACGCGTGATGTACATTGTTGCGTGACTATTATATCATAATTCAGTTTAATTTTTCGAACGCGCAATGTAACACACGACATAAATAAATCAAAATTTTAGTTATTTTGATTTTTGTTCTAAATAAAGGTGAGTGTTGAATGCGCCCTTTTACCTATGGCACGGAACACGCTTTGTTTCTTTGTTGACGGTTTTTAACACAAATATGAATATTAAACTAGGTGCTCATCTGAAAGGGCCATTGTTTTTAACATGTTCCATTTTAAAACAGACAATTTGTATAGTTCCTACAGTACGACAGATTTACTCGACACAGAGTTTTATGGTTAGTGAAATGATTGATGAATATATACACTTACATAAAATTGCGTGTAATGGAAACAGTTATGTATGTAAGTAATAGTACGTTGTCCGCGCGAATACTTAGCAAATATTCAAAGACATGTTAATAAAGCAAAGATGGGCAGAGTTTAAAGGCCCTATATAAATTCTTTGGTTATACGAGATAATAAAAACTCAACGTCGATGATTGCTCATTCTCTTACGAAGTTAACATCGTTTAATTTTCGTAAGCCAATAAGTACAATAAGGCACGGAGTTCGCGGACCTTTATTAGGCGTATCTTTGACGACCCGGTTTTTACATCTTCTGCTTACAGCTGTATGGGCATGTCGTAATATGTTATAATTTAATTTGTTTAATATACATTTATATAAATACAGTATATCCTCAGAAGTGTCAACGAATAAAAGAAGATAATGTGATGTAGTGTATTTCGATTTTGCGACTTTCCACGTGGTATTTATATTTGCGGTTATCAGTAGAATGTCAACTTGCCTGCTAATAATGATTATTTTTGATAAAAAAAACATAATTTTATTATAAACAAGTAATAAGCATCCTAATCATAATTAATATATATGAATATAAACTCAAAATTCATTAAAATTCATAAAAAATATTGTCGCAGAAGATAGTATTCACATGAAAAGAATACGTCCTAAATTTTCCTGTAGAATTTATGAAGAATGAACTGTGAAGTTCGAAAAGTTATGACTAATAAACAACAGAGAACCTAGTGTTATACATATTTAGTTTGGAAACTTCTTATGTGTTTTACAAACATTCTTAATTACCTGTCTGCATTTTATGTGATGAATTAAGGTTCATTCAGGTCAGGTTCAGGACTTATTGGCTTTGAAATCGATTTTCATAATACTTTTTGCAATTGTTTTTTTTTTCATTATTTTATTTTGGTTTGATATAATTTGGTCATGGAAAGTCTCTGTATTTGTGTAGTAAAAATTTCTTCTTGTGTACGTTAAAAACCTGCTACTGATGTTAAGTTTGGAATGCTCGTCGGAATCAAAAACAAAACGGTACCGTCCATCATCGCATACGACACGGTGGCTGTTTATAATCATCATCTGATCCTTTCATCGACATTATTAGTTCTGCATTTCGGCACCGGCGTCCGTTGCGCGTAATGACGCCCGATTGTCTCGGCCATCTTGAAAAATGATGGACGTAATCGCTCTTTATGCGCTTTATTAAAATTTCGTTTAAAGAGGCGCCTGATCACCGTCCGTCCGACATATTGGGTAATTATTTTTTCTTTAAACGGGCCTTTCATTTATCTTGAAATGTTACTTATTAAAAAGAAAAGGCCCGGACCGCCCAATAACTTTGTGAACTTCATACCTGTATGTGCACCCGAAATTTATTATCTGAATTGGTCTTCGTAGTTTAAATACAGTGTATATTATCTGTCAATTAATCGACAAGTTGCGGTGCATACTCGTAATTATGTTTATATATATGCAAGTAATAATTAGGGTTCCGAAAAATCTGAATCAAACCATTTTTTGCAACGTATCGTTGATCTTTTACCACGGTAAATTTAATTTAATTATTTTTTATTAAAAAAACATAATCATTGGATTAACTAAGCCCTAACGGCAAATAAAATGAAATTAGCATTTGCGAAGATATCGTGTATGTATAGTGCTATGTCGAGCACCACGCAGTCTTTCAAGAAACTCTAGTGATTTACTATTGTCATAAAAGGTCAACTGAGCTGATTTTAATCCTATATTGTTATTCCTCACTGGTCCTTTCTTTAGCGTAAATTATACTTAGCTATACGTAGCAGCGCAAGTGGACAGAACGAAAAAATATATTTTAAATGTTTAATCATATTATATCCGTACTTCAATAAATAGTTGACTAAATCTAAAAAAATGGATAAATGTAGTATCTACTTTATGTATTGGAATTCAAGGCACGTAGAATCCTGTCTCATTTTATGACACTGTACCTACATTATGCGCAGTCACAAGCCACAGACCGGGGCTAGCTTCATAATACTTACGTGTTAAAGTATTAATTAAAAGTTGTTTTCAGTAATTCATGACTAGATTTTGGCTATATTTGTGTCTATATATTGCATTTGTTGTCGTCAAAAGACCTTTAGGA